AAAGACGGGTGTTTGCAGGCTTTTTCAATGGTGTTTCAAATATACGCAATTTCACTTAGACATGCGGTGTCTTGGAACGTAACCCACGGATAAATTGGGAGTTGCCTGTACAGTGGTGCCTCGCAAGACGAAATTAATCCGTTCCGCGAGAGTCTTCGTCTAGCGGTTTTTTCGTCTTGCGAAGCAAGCCCATTGACGGATTAGCGCTATTAGCGCTATTAGCGGTTTAGCGGCTATTAAAGGCTTAAAGGCTTAGGGGATTAGCTGCTAAAAGGCTATTAAAGGCTATTAAAGGCTTAGCAGATTAGATAAAGGGGGGGGAAAAGCGGAAAAAAAATCTCAAGACTCGCAAGGTATTTTCGTCTTGCGAAGCAAGCCCATAGGGGAATTCGTCCTGCGAAGCAACTTCAAAACGGAAAACCCTTTTGTCTAGCGGTTTTTCCGTCTTGCGAGGCATTCGTCTTGCGGGGCACCACTGTATACATCTTGGCAAAGTACCAGTTTCTATGCCACACCCTGCTCATCTATTGCAAGAAACATAATAGGTAGTTCTCAGGTTCAAATTAAGGGACATTTATCATTTACTATGTATTGTGAATTCTAAAAAGATGGTAGTGCAAGCACTTGTTGCCTGCCTGTAGTGTTTGTGCATGCAATAAAGTTCTGCCATGTTCCATTAAAAATGTCTGGTATAATCTTTGCTTTTTAAAAAAAAAAGATTTTCTTGATTTACAAAAGTGTGTGCAATGTCTCTCTCTTGTATATTTTTTCCCATGTAACATTTTTACAAGTCAGTTTCATTTGTTGAGACAGTGGGAAGAAAAGGGAGAGAGAGGTGGAGGGGGGGGGAAGATGAGTCGGGGTGGGGTCGGGTGGCGATGTTTCTATTTTACTTACTATATGTAGGGTTTGGTGCCAGTGCTGCATCATCTTTGCTTTTGAAGCTAGATGTCCTGTACCTGTGTCTTCCTTTATACAACTATTTCTTCCTGTTGTTGACCCAGCTTTGTAAAAGTATTTGCTTTTGGGCAACGCTTTGACACTGTTATATTCAGTTTCATGGTGTATTTTTTCACTTGCCATATAATATTAGAGCAGTAACATTTATAGCACTGGAATAAATAGACTTTGCTAGTATCAGATGCCTTGCAGCAGATTTCCTACAATGTTCCATTAATCTGAGGACAGCTATTGTTTCTGTTCTCTAGTGTTGCAAACATTATCCTTTAATTATATAAGATTCTGGCATAGGTTTGGTTTTGGGGTTTTTTTTAAAAGTGTCGTTTAAATTACCCTGCCAGATTTGACTTGATCATAAATTTGAAGTTTTGCAAAGCAGAATTTGGCAAACATCCAGGCTGATAGTTATTTCAGGATTTTTGTTTGTCTGTCTTGTTAGGTTCAGTGAACTAATACAGTATAAACATATAAGCATTTTTTAAATAGCTGGCAACGTAAGTGGCATTGTGACATCCCATGAGACCTGCCAATGTAAACCAATTAGAAATATATGCAAGCTAACTGTTAGGATATAAATGTAATAATAAATAAATAAACTATCTGTCCTCCAAGGAGCTCAAGGTGGCACAAGTGAGACTCCCCTTCCCCATTTTATCCTCACGACAACCCTGTAAAGAAGTAGGTTAGGCTGAAATATAGTGATTGGCTCAAGGTCTTCGGTCAGTTTTGTAAATGACTGGGGATTTAAACCCTGATAGCCCAGGACCTTGTCCAACACACTAAACATAAACAGTATACTACATCACTGGTGTGATGTTAAAGATCTCAGTATTTTTTATGATAATTTTTCCATAAGCTTTGATGACATGTTTTCTGTAAACTAGCCATGATATGTGCTGCTTGTTTTGATCTTTCTTTTTTATATTGTAGTGTTTTGCTGCTTTTATTGTACTGTGTTTTGCTGGGTTGATGGGTATGTGATTCAGTTGTGAATTGCCTTGGAATTTAGAAAGTGATGGGTGGTCTATAAATATTTGCAGTAAAATAAAATGTGTGGTACAATCCTGCTTTGGATGTATCATTCAAACCATGGTTTGCTAATCTGGACATCAGGTAAAATGATGGCTTGACAAACTAGGAAGCGTTGTATAAAACCACGGAATGAGGAGAGCGTCATGTGGACACTATTACACAATACTGCATGCATGAGCAGCAAGATGAGTCCACAATAAACTGCTGTATGGATATATGGCCCCCTATGTCAGAATATGGGGAAGATATGGCAACCTGTGGGGGGGTTATTTTGCACAAAAGCTCAACAACTTTGGGCAAAACTAAAAAAAAATTGCTCCTCCCCAAAAAGCATGCATATTATGGAAGCATGCAGAGAACTTACAACACAGTACTATGCATGCTTACTCTGACGTACATTCCTCTCTGTTCATGAGACTTACTCCTAGGGACACATGTTTAGGATTGCAGCCTTAGTCCCTATGCTACACCAGCTCTCGTTGCCAGCTTTTTTTAAAAGGGCAAAATTCCATCTTCACAGCCAGAAAAACAGCTTAACAGTGGACTGAAACTACAAGAAGAAACTAGATCTTCCAACCCTTTCCATCTATTGTCCAACTAACCTTAAAATACTTGTAAATGCTTTGGAAGGAACTGGTTGGACCGCTTTCCTTTTCTGGAATACTAAATCCATTCATATTTTAATCAGCATTGTTGGCTAGTGGAATACTGTAAAGTACCGTAAACATTGCCCCTCTTCTGGAAATTTGAATCAACCCTCCAAAGCATAGATGAAAGCATCATATACTATAGTAAGCACCTCTGATTTGCTTTTAACTTTGGCCAGCTAAGGCTGTGTACCATACATTTAAAGCACCATACATTTTTGTGTACCATACATTTAAAGTGTACCATACATTTAAAGCACATTATTTCCCCTCAAGGATTCCAGGAACTATAGTTTTTCCCTCACAGAGCTACAATTCCCAGCATCCTTAACAAACTATAGTTCCCAGGATTCTTGCAGCCTTTCTCAACTTGTGGGTCCCCAGATGTTGTTGAACTACAACTTGCATCACCCCTAGCTAGCAAGGCCAGAGCTCAGGGATGATGGGAGTTGTAGTCCAACAACATCAGGGGACCCACAGGTTGAGAACCGCTGTGTTAATTTAGGGGAAGTCATGAATGGCATTCAGTTGCCTTTACTTGGAGTAAATCCTTTGAAATTAGTGGACCTAATTTAGTGGTGTTAATTGATTTCAGCGGGTCTACTTTGAGTAAAAAAAAAATAGTTGAAAACCTCCCCATGTGTTTTAACTGTATGGTGTGTATGCAGCCTATGTCGCTGACGGACTCCGAAGCGCTTGCTGTTTGGGTTCATGCCCTGCTTGCAGATTTTCCCTAGCTCTCTCTTAAGTTTTTGAGCTCACCTAATCACTGCGGGATCGCCATTACGCTTTGACATGTTGAATTTTTGGCTTTGCCCTGCTGGTTCTTGGATCCTTGTGTTTTCTTTTTGTTGATTTTCAGATTGTTTATTTGAATTCTGTTCTTTTTTTACATATTTTTGTTCAAAGGTCATTGAAGTTGCTTGATAACTCTCAAGTGGCTATCGCCTGGAACTAGTGATCTGTTAATTTTTAATTTGTCAGTAATATCCAGAGGATAACTTCACTTTAATTTCCTGTGTAAACTCTCAACTTGTGGATGGCAAATAATGGTGGTAGGTTTCTTGGGTTGTGAGAAGGGACTGGAAGGTCTTCCCACTGAGTCTAGTTTTGCTGGATCCAAATTCGTAGCTCAATAACACAGGAAGAGGAACAGTTTGAAGATGAAAGTGAAAGTGAAATATGTGTGTGTGTGTGTGTGTGTGTGTGTGTGTGTGTGTGTGTATATATATATATATATATATATATATATATATATATGATAGCAGGGGTGTAGCTACCAACTGTTTTACTTAAACAAATAATTAGCAAATTGTTTATCACATTGGGCCTTACTGCTATATAATTTTTTAAAAGGTAATTACTATGCTACGGAAGTTTTAATTGACAGAAAATCAAAACAGTTTGTAATAAATGTTGCAAAAACTACACAAACAGCTCCATCTTGATTCTCCAAACCTGCTCCTAGCAGAGCAGGCTGCAGAATGCCTTAAAACATATCTTTCAACGTTTCTCCGATGAAATACAGGGACGTCCTAAGGAAAAGCAGGACATACCAGGATCAAATCAGAAACCGGGACAGCTTCTGTAAATCAGGGGTGTCCCTGGAAAATAGGGACACTTGGAGGGTCTGCCAGGGGTGCCAGCCACAAAATGGCTGCCATGGGGGCATGGCATAACAGAAAATGGCTGCCATGTTTAAAAGCACAGAAAGAGACACAACCACAAAATGGCATGGGCATGCCTATTATATTCACCTATCCTCTGTTTGGAAGGTAGGGTGGGTGATGAATAAAATGTGACTGTGTTTAAGGGATCATTGTTCAACACAGGAAAAGCCAGGAATTGAAGAGGAAAAGCCATCTCCTGTCCATTGCAGGTTTTTGGAGATATCTGCTGAGCATGATAGGAGGTACCAGTGGGTGTACTGGTGCCTAGCACTTCATTTCTTAATCACCCCAGACCATAGCTGTCAACTTTCAGATTTGAAAATAAGGGATCAGCAGCCTTGAAAATAAGGGATCAGCAGCCTCACCTGTCCTGGGGACAGTCTACGGGATATCTAACAATCCGGGATAGCAGCGGGAAACAGCACTGGAATAAGGGGATTTCCCACCAAAAAAGGGAAGGTTGACAGCTATGCCCCAGACTCCCATCCTGGAGTGAGGGCTTCAGGGGAACCAGAGAACATTATTAGAAATTTATGTGGTGGATCGACACTGAGTAAGGAGTGCTTGAAAGGGGTCCATCATGGACCTGGTTGAGGCACCACCAACTGCCTGAGGGCATTAACAGCATCTTGGAGAGGGATCTTAAATTAGGGAAATAGTGCAAGAGGAAAGGATAAATGTGATTTTTATTCTTTGGTTTGTTTTGCGTATAGCAGTACAGTATAGTCTGAGCCGTATTTTTCTGTTGCTTAGAAGGTAGTTCATCAGCAGCACTTGAAAATTGATGGCATTCTCTTTGCACGACAAAGAAAAGAGGGAGCAGAGAAATTCTGCTAGATGTGTTCCAAAATTATCTCTTTCCCAGTGTACTTTCATTAAATATAACTCTGTACTTCTTGACCCTGGCTGGCTTCTGAAATTATTCACTATGAAGGTCTGGTTCTTTTTGTGATGGAAAAGCACTGAAGTTTTTTGTATCCTGTGTTGAAAAGCCCCAGCTGTTATGGCTGGAAAATTAAATAAGCAAGAGCAAGACTATATTACATAATTATCCGGTAGTCCATACACTAACACTAAACTGTTGCATTAAAACTTTTATTGCCAAATGAAAGTGATAGTTAAGCAGAAGTTTATGAAAGTTTGCACCTTTAGATACGGTACTGAAATTCTATGGAGGCTGTTGTAAGATGATAAACTGCTGTATAGATAAGGAAAGGTGAGTAATGAATGTTTAACAAATAAACTACAGAAAACTGGCAGTAGAAATGTGTATGATTATTTTTTTGCAAAAAATGCACATTACATGTATTCTATGGAAAATGAATAATTCCCCTTAATTTCTCTCTCTCTCTCTCTCTCTCTCTCTCTCTCTCCGTGTGTGTGTGTGTGTGTGTGTGTGTGTGAGAGAGAGAGAGAGAGAGAGAGAGAGAAATGAGTTCCAACAAGGAGACACCCAGGTCAGGAGAAAAGTTACAGGCAAGTTGCAACTTTTCTGCTCCTGTGTCATATATTAAATTGAACCAGTAATGACTCATCCAATCCTTGCTAATCCTCCCTACTGCAAGATAGGTGCATGTAGAAAATTAATGAATAATCTTTTAAATCTTTAGGGCATTTTTGTGTAAGATCAGTTATATAAAAACTCTTTTGGGTTAATATACCCTTGGTTATAATATATGACAAGTTTCAAAAAGTTCATATTGTACCAAAAGATTTAAATTAAAAATTGACTTTATTTTTTTAAAGGCCACCCACCTTTCAGGGGGGTTTTTTGTATGAAAAACCAAAATCACTATCATTATGTGTTAAAGAAATCCATGATGGGAGATGCCAGATGGTTCTTCTTGATGATTGATTTAGTAAGCCTATAATCATCTATTTTTTCTCCATTTTGAAAGATCCTAAGAAGAGATTTCATACATACAACTGTCAGCTGGTAGGGGGAGGGCCCCTGAGTGGCCAAAACCAAGCATACAAAAAGATCAAAGGAAGGATGATTAATCACATGACTTTCCTGTTAATTTTTTTTTAAGTAAACATTCAAAAGTCTGGCACAGTTTCCATTGCTAAGAACAAGATGATCCTAAGAGTGTTCAGCAATAAACATCATTGCTACTGAACAATTATATGCTTTCAATTCAATTTTTAAGTACTCTTACAGCCATGTTCTACATATTGTTACAGCTCTGGGGTTACAGAGTTTGGGGGTGCAAAGGCACTCATAAGTGGTAGAATTAATGAATAGTATAATTTAGATAATATTTGCAGTATTGAAGGGAAGATACCAGGGCCTCACCTGGGATGGAAGTTGTTAAGAAGGACAAAGGGTACGGGAAGCAAGCTACTAATTAGCACATCATGATTTGCATATTATGTTTGTGCTTGTAGCTGAAATCTTACATGAGCTTGAAATCCCTTTCCAGTTCCTCTGCAACTTGTTTTCTTAATACCTTGTGAGGTCAAGTGGTTCTCTTCTGTCCATTTACCATTGGTCTGGTCCCAAACCTGGAATAAGAATTAGTACTGCCAACTGAACTTCCTCCTCTTGCTTTCTCTTAAGGCACTTTGCATATATTATGGGAGCCAAATGCCTGTCCAATTACCGGCTTCCTGACATGTGCATGTTAGTTGCTGTTTATTTTATTGCATTTATATCTTACCTTTCTTCCAAGGAACTCAAGGAAGCATAGAGTGGAAACTGTTGGCTCTTAAAATCAAAAAGTTGGCAGAACACCTTTTAAAGTGATCCCAAATGAGAACGAAAAGGAACACAACTTTGGCAAGGGAAGGCAAGCAGACAATAAGGAATTCAAAAAAGGGCTCAGAGAACATATGGATGAAAACATTACGACCAACAATAACAATCCTTTACAGCGGTACCTCGGGTTACATATGCTTCAGGTTACAGACTCCGCTAACCCAGAAATAGTACCTCGGGTTAAGAACTTTGCTTCAGGATGAGAACAGAAATCGTGCTCCGGCATCGCGGCTAAAGTGGTGCTTCAGGTTAAGAACAGTTTCAGGTTAAGAACGGACCTCTGGAACAAATTAAGTACTTAACCCGAGGTACCACTGTATTAGTAGGAGCCCAGCAGCAGAGGCAGTTGGATGGCAGTAGAATTAAAAGTGTGCTAAAGGAAGAAAAGGAGATTGCAGAGAAATGGAATTATTTGCATTTGTTTTCATTGTGGAAAACAGGGCAGAAGCCTGTGCCTGAACTGATGTATCTGGAAGGAAATCTGAAAGACTTAGGCAAATAGTGGTGATGAGAGATGCCTTATTGATAACTCAAAACTAACAATTCACCAGTTCTAGATGGTATCTACCCAACAGTTCTTAAATAACGCAGATGTAAAATTTTCGATCTTCTAACCAAGATATATATAACTTGTTCCTGAGATTGACATCCATACTTGAATATTAGAAAGTGGTCAATATAACACAAATTCTTCAAGAGAGATCTGGGAGAGGGGTGGGAATTCAGGAAATCACAGGCTACCTACATTAACAAGTGTTCTGGGGAAACTGGTTGGAACCATGATTAAATATATAAATTGCCAAGCATACAGAAGAACAAGTATTGCCGAAGAACAGTGGAACGTCCCTGTGTTCATGTCCTTGTGGGCTTTCAGCAGGGATCTAGTTTGCCTCCATGATAACAGGAGGACTAGATAGGCTGACCCAATAGGGTTCTTCTTAGGTTCTTATGCATATGATAATCCCCTCTCCAGTTTGTCCTCACACAAACCCTTTGGGTTAGGGTAAGGCTGAGGGATGGTGACAGGCACAAGGTCACCAGCAAGCTTGATGGCTGAGTGTGAATTCGAACCTGGGCTTCTGCAGCCCTGGTGCGACATTGTAACTACTGCATGGCTTGTGTGTTTTCTTGGAGGTTTGCCTTGATCTGTCATTGCCACTGAAGGTCCAGGTGGCTTTGGTGGCTAGAAACATCTTCTACTAGCTACCGGTTGATCAGCTACAGCTGTTCCTGGGCAGGGATAATTTCCTGCAGTGATTGATGTGCTGGTAATCTGAATTAATTAATGAGACAGTTCGATTACTATGAATATTATGGCAAAGAGGGTCCAGGGGCCACAACTTGTGCAGAATGCAGCTACTCGGTTACTGAGTGGATTCAATTATCAAGACAGTCCTGAAAGTGCTGCATTGGCTGCCAATTTTCCACTAGGTGTTTGTGATGGCTTATAAAGCTAGAAATAGCTTGCATCTATAGATACTTTGAGACCTTCTTCCATACCAACCAGCCTCTTGAGTTAAGATAATGAGGAAGGCTTGTTAGTGACTCCATATGGGAATGGCATCTGTTGTGCAGTAACCAGTGAAAGGGTCTTCTCTGCCATGGTACCCCAATTGTAGAATACCACCCTATTCCAACTGGGTTGACATCTACACTGCTGGGCACTCTGTATTTGGTTTTCTGTGGATTTGTTATTTGCTATCCTAGTTTCTGTAATTTCTGCCCTGTGTGCATTTGTATTGTGGCAATACACACACACACACACACACATACGGGTGTGTGTTTCATTGTGCCCCACCCCGAGATATTTGGGGAGAAGGGTGTGTTAGAAACACAAATGGATTGCTTGTAATTGACCAGTAAGGGTCAATTTAAGAAATCTCTGATCAGTCTCTTTCCTTCAATGATTTGTCTTCAGATTTTTCCTAGAGAGTTGCTGCCATGGTTAAAATGACATGCAGTGTATTCCGAGTCTTCTTGAACCTTAACAGTTTCAGATGTTGAGCAAGTCATATGTGCTAGATACCCACATGCCATCAAGCTGAAATGGAATGAGTGAACAATATAGCTTTTGTTATCAAAGTGCCAACAACCCTAAATCTGCATGCAGTTATAAAACAATTGTATGAGGATGGTGTGTGCAGTCCATAACTAGATGTGATCGTGCTGAGCTCTTGCATTTCAGAAGTGAAAGAACAAGCCTTTGAGAAATATAATTTACATTGGGAAAGGCTAGGGGATTGCCTTTCCCACACATTTCAGACAACATGTCTTCACAGAATCATAGAACTGTAGAGATGGAAGTGACCATGAAGGCCATCTACTCTGCTCTCCTGCATTGCAGGAATCGTTTGACCAAATGTGGAGCTCGAACCCACAACCCTGAGATTAAGAGTCTACAGGCATGCCTGTATCTTTGGGGTGACACTGCTTCTTTACCAAATAGCTGTATGTTGAAATCTGAAATTGTATTTACCCCTTTTGCTACCTGTTTGGGAAAGTGTGCTGTAGTGATCACTGGGGTTGAAAGCTCATTTCTTTGCCCATCGAATGGTGGCTGGGCTGGCAAATTGCTCTCTCTGAGAGGTAAACTACATGTCGTGGAGTTAGGCGGTGCCGAATTTGTATAAAGTGGGGGCATTGTTTCTGTGGCTGGGTCCCTGGAATTATCCGATGTATTCCAGTAATCCGAACTGAGCCTCATTATTCTGTGAAACGTGGGGCTGCGGACAGGGGACGGATGAGATTCGTCACTTGCATAGGCGTCCCGACCGGCGGGCACAAAGCAGCAGGCGATCGAAAGGACGGAGACCTTCACCTCCTCTGACCTCCGAGGAACTCGATAGTAGTCTTTATTGTCAATCAGTCGATGACGGCACAAACGAAATCCCGCCCCTCGAGCTTTATCTCGGACCGCGCGCCTGTCATCTCACACCTCAGCTCTCTTCGGCGCGGGGTTGCGCCACCCCTTTGGGAAAGGAATAAGAAGGCGGGACTTGTTGCATTCCCCGCCCTCCCGGAGAGCGTCTATTGGCGTCGTAGATGGCTGCGGCGTCGCGATTGGTTTTGCTTGTCGAGCCACTCAGAAATCGGATTCGCTGGGCGGTGCGGGCATCTGCCGTGCTCTGTGCCCCCCTCCGCGTCAAGGCAGCCAGCTAGTCAGTCTTTCTTTCTCCTTCCTGCACTTTTGATGGTCCTCCAAAGCGAGTAGCGTTTGGAGCGGCGAAGCGGGGCATCGCTCCCGCGAGGGGTGAGCGGCGTCGGAGAGGCGCTTGAGGGTGGACGACGGGTGAGCCTGGGCAGCGGGCGCTCGCTCGCGCTGAGGGAACTTTTGGTTTCCCCTCTTTCTTTCTTTCCTTCCTTTCTTCCCTTGTCCCCCGCCCCCGCCACGAAAAGAGGAAAGGAAAGAATTTGAACGTCGACTGGTTCTTTTTCCGTTGGAAAAAGGAGCGTTGGAACGGTTGGAAGGAGCGGGCAGTTCAGTTAACGGCTCGTCGGCATGGAGTGCGGGGGGCTTCCTTTCTCCTCGCCAGGTCGCAGGTTTGAACCACTCCCCCTCCTCCTCGAGGCAGACCCCCGAACGCCCTCTTCTCCTCCTCTCCTTCCCCCTTTCTTTTTTTGGGAAAGGCGAGCAGGAGCGGGAGAGAGGAGCGCGAGGGAGCCGGCCGCCGCCCTCTGGTCTCGACCTGAGGGGACAACGGGGGAAGCGCCGGCAACGGAGTGGGCGGCGGCGGGTCGCTGTGAGAAACGAGAGGGAGGCCGCTTGGCATCTGGAGCCCCTCGATCTTGCTCGGGACTGTGGGAGGCGGCGGGTATCCGTCCCGTGGCGGGGCGCGACGCCCGCTGGCTGCGGTCAAGGGGGGGGGTCGGCTGGGGATAGTTGGCTCTTCGCGCCTCCAGGGCTGTCCTCGGAGCTCTGCCTGCAATCCGCTCCTTTAATGACTCGAGAGGGAGCCCTATTAATATCAACGGGGCTGATCTCCGCGTAAACAAGCCGAGGATGGCGGGGCATGCCAGGGTCAACGTGCAGCTCCGCCGCCGCCGCCTCCTTTTGCCCTGCACATTCCAGAGGGTGTTAGCTGTGCTCGAGCGAGAACAAAAAGGATTCTCGTGGCGCCTTGGAAGGCTGCCGGATAAAGTGGGGCTTTAGACCACGAGCACTTTGCGCCGAAACACACCCTTTAAGGTGCCAGCCACAATACAGTACTCTGTTGTTGCTGTTGTTGCTGCTGCTGTCTTTTTTTGGCCGTTTCCACGCAGAGGCAACTAGGGGGGAAAAACCAGTGTCCTCAGAACTTCCAGAGCGGATGGCTGAGTTAGTCTGTTGCAGCAAGAAACAATAACCCCAAACCCGACAGTCTTGTGGCACTTTGAAGACGGGCACATTTATTGTAGAATAAGCTTTTGCGGAAGAGAGCCCACTTCCTCTACTGCTTGAAGGGTTATCCTTAGCTGGCATATCTAAATGGGGTTGCAGAAGAAGAAGGATGTGATCATCGAGGTAGATTTACAGTGCTTTGCCCTCACAGAATCCATGCAGCCCCAAAGTAATGAGGTGGGTGTAGATTTGGTTGATGGTATCTTTGGTTATTAAGGAAAAAATGAAAGAGTTTTAGTATATAGGCAGTGAAAGCTAGCTGGCACTGAGGACATCTTCATTCGAAAGTTAAATTGTCTGCAACTTGCTGTTTTGCCAAGGAGGCCTAACAAAAACTGTGGAAATAACCACAAGGGTATTTTTCAAAGGCCAATTATTAATAAAGTGGATAACTGTATATGCATGCTGTAGAAATACTTTCTATCTACCTCGTAATGGGACAGCATTCAGTAACAGTAAGACACAAGTTGCACTGCTGCCATACCATCTATTTCATCACCATTAACAGACATTCTTGCTCTGACTGCCCCGATAGTTTTCACTAATATATTTGCTTTCATCTTATTTTGCTTTTAGGGGTCACTGCCATGCATCTCAAAATCTTGCTATAAAAAGGAAAGTGTTTCTTTCCTGTCAGAACTTGACTTCTCAAATACTATTGGAAATTGTGCTCAAGAACTCTTATTTTTATTTAAGTACTTAAAACTTTACATGCTTTTTGAAGATCAAAACTTAAAATCTGATGTTGCTGTCTTCTGATTAGATAGGCTACCTTCCTGTAATCCTTTTATTACATTTAAATCTGCTTAAGTCTGTTGTGATTGAAGGTAGCTGCGGAGTTGAGATCATTTGTCTCAGTAGATTTTTTTTCAATCTGCTTAACAGGTTCAGGCACATATTTAGTGTTGCAATTTTTAAACCTCTAACACAAACCTTTAAACCTCTGATGCAGAAATTAGTGTGTTTTTGTGTCTCCTTGTGCAATCTTGAAAATATGAATGCTTGCCTTGTGAATGCATTGTAGGGAATTTACACATCAAAAATGCAAATTGTTAATGCAGGCATGGGGATTTCTGCATTAAAATTTATATTGACTATGCAGATGAAATATATTTTGACACTCATTAAAAGGGTAGAGTGGACAGACAGAATATAGTTATTTTAATGGCTGCTTGTTTTGGCACCCAAACTGCATATTCACTTGACATGCAGTCCAGACACACACAGAAAATGAAACAGCATTTATGGAGTACATTTCATTGAAGTAGATTTCACTATGATGTTGGCTATTTGCCTAATAGAAACTGATCATGGTAGCCCTCTTATATACAAGGGGTTACTATAAATGGAAATTGAAATTATTATTTTTTTCAAAGCCAGTGCAGTATTCCTTACAGAGAATAAGTTTATATAGAATAAGCTTGACTATATTTTACAGTTACATGGGTAGCTCCTGCTTATCTGTTGCCTCTGGTACATATATTCCCACTGTGGAGTGGAGGAATTACTAATTACATTTTCATTCCACCTTTTTTTCCAAAGAGCTTGGGAGTGATGTGCATCAGGGATTGCCAGCATGGTGCCCACAGGCACCAATATGCCTATCCATCAGTGCCCCCCAGTATACATAGTTCTCCCTCTCCCATTTTGTCCACCATGTTCAGTGGGAGAGAATTATTTATTGAAGCTTTGTAGATGAGCCATCGTTTAAAGCTGGGTCTCCCTGTCCTTACCATGGCACCCACATTATTGTAGCATGCAATTTAAAAATAATAATAAACAACACTTGAGAGAATGCCCTCAGAGTCTTTGGGAATGGAATGCCTTTACAGTCCTCATAGTAACCAAGTATGTTTTTAAAGATCATGGCACAATGTAAGGTAGGTCATATGAGACATTCCAGGGAATAAATATCCCCCAATCCTGATGTGATTACCATATTTGAATACTAAATTAAAACCTTTTTTTTAAGTGGCAAAAGGACCTATAGAGTCTCTGATTGCCACCAGCTGCAAAGTCAAAAGCACCAAAACTACTCTAGAATCAAAATATTGTATAGATGCATCTACAAATGTGCCCATAGTATCACTGGAAACTCCAGCACCACCACCCATCATCACATAATTGCACAGATGTAATGCCCAACATTAGTAGCACCATCAGCATAGGGTACTTGTTGTACAAATGCTATTATAATAGTGCCTTGCCAAGTCCACTTGGTCCCATGCACAGTGCACAAGCATACTGTCTGGAAGTGTCCAGATTGCCTCCCTTGTCAGAAGCCACCATGGTTTAATGGGCAGGTGGGCAGCAACTGACCTTTGTCGTTACCAAGTCCTAGAAATTTAATAAATAACAATAACAACAACTGACATTTGTAGTCACCAAGCTTTCTGAGTCATTCGCTCAAACGGGTTGAAATTGTCAAATGGAGCCAGCAACAGGAAAAGGTTGCAGCAGCTATAAACAACACCTTTGCCATGGAAAAAGCCACAGCCAGGGAGAAGGAAGGAGCGCCTAACTGCAAGAGATAGCTAGATATATAGCTAGATATATGTGGGTAGGTGGAGATATGAAAGCTATTGTTCCCTTTCAGAATTCTTTTGTGGGACCACTGATCACAAACAATGTTGAGACCATTGCATATGAAAAATCATTTGAAGTGTATTCATTTGGAAGGAATAGTATTTTATTGCTTAAATTGTTTTTTAAAACTTTTTTCCTGACTGTATGGCTTGGCAGGGAAAAGTATGAGAAGAAATTCATAGGCTTTTGTATTGTGTATGGCACACTTTCACTTGCTTTCCAGAACTGTAGCCCTATGGGTTTGTTGTACTAAAAGAAATAATTTTCTGTATACAGTACTTATTTGAAAGTAATCCCATGAAACCCAGTAGGGTTTAGTCCTGAGTAGACCTGCATAGGACTAGAAATTCTGTCTCCGGCTCCACCCACCACTATCCCCGCCAACAGATTTTCCTAAGGGAATGTTGTTTTTAACAGAAAAAAATTGCCCACACCTGTGAAACACCATCAAGGGCTGGTGCTAGAGAAGATTCCCTAGGGAGCTTAGCATCCCTTTTAAAATTTTTGTTCCCCTACCAGTGTGTCCCTGTTCTGCCTTCTCTTTTCCCTCTATCTGTTGTCTGTCCCCAGCAGCCTCTTCCAGAGCAAGGATGTTGCTACTGTAGTGGTTATTTTGATTCTTCTAGTTGGTTTAGAATTTGAGAGTGATCCTATCTTTGCCCAATAGGCATAATGCAGTCCTGTAATCTCTTTATTCAGTGTAGTATGTGAAGACAGTTCTTAATGCATCCCCAAAACCTCTTAATGTCCTATGTATTTCACTGGAGTGTGTTTAAATAGTTTGTATTGTTTATTGCTGCAAACTTTATGATGCCACAAAAGAGACCCAAGTTAAACAATATTTGTACAACTCTTGCAACTCTTACTATAGCTGATCTTGAAATAGCTACTGTCCTACTGTTTCTGTTCTCTGTTCTCCAGAGTTACCTTCCTACTGACACCAGCTCACGGAGGATGGGGCCTGCTATCATTTTACTGCTTGTAAAACTAACAATATACGTTAAAGCGGTGACTTTGGCTGTATTTATACAAATTATTTTGTTTGTTCTGAACACAGTTTAATTTCTTTTATTGGTCCTGAAAGTTGACTCTTTAAAAGAAACATTTGACAATGGCGTATATAATATATGTGGTTTATTTTCCTTCTCTGTGTTTTTGTGGATTAAAACAAAATAAAATTGCTTTCAGGAAGACTCACCAGGGAGGTTTAAATACCGCACAGGAGAACTTCGCAGGGTTGCTTTTGGAAAACAGACCATAATGTTGCTGTAATTAGTTTGCTTGGCTCTACATTCATACCTCGGGTTGAAGTGACTTCAGGTTGAGTGTTTTCGGGTTGTGCTTTGCGGTGACCCGGAAGTAACGGAGCATGTTACTTCTGGGTTTCGCCGCTTGTGCATGCGCAGATGCTCAAAATGACGTCACACGCATGCACGTAAGCGGCGAATCGTGACCCGCAGACGTGGGTTGCGTTCGCTTCAGGATGTGAACAGGGCTCCGGAACGGATCCTGTTCGCATCCAGAAGTTCTACTGTATATTGAAGTCTTCAGTCATGCTTTGATCCTGCATTGAATTCTTCATGAAAAGAACACACAGGTTTTGCTAATTCAGTATAGTCTTAAATACACAACCAGAATATTACATGCAAGTTTTTTGCTCTATATTTATTATCTTAAAGCTTTAATCGGCTATCGTATTTAGTATTTTACATGCATGCCACAAATAATCCTTTAGTTATCAGTGACATTTTTTTTCTATGTAAGACTCAAAATGATGTCATTTTTGGAGTTTGTATTCAAGAATTTTATTATGCATAGATCTCAAAATTACTACTGGGAAGAACAGAATTAAAGGAACAAACTTTAAATATTATAATTAAATTAACACTAAAGTCAGTTGTCAAACATTTGCTCTGCTAGAAGTAATCTACATTCAGTTCAAAGCAGAAATGTAAATAAAACTATATAAACATTATAAAGCTGTGTAAGAACATTTAATCTCTGTAGTGGATTGCAGCACATTTTATTGATATTTTAAATATTTAATGTGGACAAAAACAGATTTGACATACATGATTCTGGTACCATATATTTGTGAGCTTTTGCTTTCACATGATATTGTATTCCTGGTGGCTCAGTTAAATGCTAGGGTTTGCTTTGCCAATTACATTTGCATAGTTGTTTCTGTACTACTTCTCTTAAGTATGTACTAGTAAGGTCTTGTACAAACATACACGTATGCGTGAAGGTTTCCTCAATGATGCCAAACTGCACTGTGAACCATGTGTATATATTAATGTAATGTTTGCTGGTGTTGGTGTACTATCCATGACTCATTTTAAAATTGTGGACGAAGAGCAGATGTAATAACGATTTCCTTAAGTTCTTGTAATGCATTATAGCTTTCAAAAGCATGTGATGCATATTTTCATTGTTTTTCTGTAGGAGACTAATGTTTAATACCCTATTTAAAATTAAGTGTTTCTTTAAAAGTGCCTATGTTGATGCATTTCTATTTGTGGAGGACTAGACCAATCCTATTTTCCCCTCCTGTAGCTGTTGAAGCTTAAGTTGGAGTGCATCCTGTGTGGTTGACCTGAGAGAAACTACTCTGCCCGATTACGTTTAAAAGCCAGAAGCAAGCTTGTTGCATTTTCTAGCTGGCATAGGGCTGTGTTGCAGAAACCTTGAGTATGGCTCAAGCTGATTGCCCTGTCATTTCTTTCCACTTCTTTGCACGGCATTCCTGTGTTCTGTATAAGGATTTCCCTCCTGTGTTGAAATAGAAGCACTGATAGCACTAGGACCAATCAGGGCCGGATTTAGGTTTGATGAGGCCCTAAGCTACTGAAGGTAATGGGGCCTATATGTCCAGCTGTCCTTTGTCAACAACAAATTGTCACTGTTTTTTGTGTTGAATATATGCTATATGGTAATTTATGGACCTAGTAGGTAACTAAGGCCAATTGCTCATAACAGAATATGTATTTTATCAAAGTAATTGTTGGACTGAAATACAATTGGAAATGTACATCCAGGTTGTTTTTTCCTTTAAATTTTTTTGGGCCCCCCAAGAGAGTGGGGCCCTAAGCTATAGCTTGTTTAGCTTATACATAAATCCAGCACTGGGACCAATCTGAGTGCATGGGAAAATGAAGTATTTGGCCTTATAAATCCTGAGCTCAGTTCTGTTCTGTTATTTCTTCATGACAAGTTTGTAAATGACTGACAAACGTATGATGAATGTTATTGTCTTGCAAAAGACCAAGTAGAGAATATTTTCATTTTACTTTCAGGTTCACAAATGATGAAAGTTACAATCCGGTACACGTGTATTTGGATGTAAACCCCATTTAACTCAGTAGGTCTTTTGAGTTGACATGTATAGGATTGCGTTGGAGCACAGCTACATTTGGCCAAGTAGGTTACTAAGACTTTTTCTGGGTGAATAAGTTGTGAATCTGGATGGTTCAATTTACTTCTAATATCTCTCATGGATAATTTGCCTTTCCTAAGCCATGCTACTCACAAAATATAGTTCTGATCTTTGCCTAATTGTCTAATGGAGCTTCAGAGTCCATTAGGAATACAGATAGTTATAGTCATAAGTGAAAATTGAATCAATAGAAGAACCTTTCAAACTAGATGTATGAGGGGAAATAGGCTTGATAATTCTTGAAAATGTATGCTGTAAATCGTACAAAATGACAGGGTGCTGACCACACCCAACTTCTGCTTTTTTGTTCTTGAATCAGCATTCTTAGGAGCTGTTTTATAAACAAGCCCTTTGTATGCCTCTGAAATGTGGTAACATTTAGATTATAAGGCTATTTTGCAAGCATATGAAGCAGTTGGCTTTCATATGTTTTCTTTGACTGTTTGTCACTATTTTAATGACAATAAAATGATAATTCTTGTGTTCTGTGATGTGCAGTGTTTGTGAGAGGACTAGAGTATTAAATCAGGGTGGAGTTGGAATAGGTTTTCTGAAACTGTTACAAGTTTGCTCATAGTTCAAGAATGTATGTGGTAAGATTCAAATCTCCGAAAAATGTCTCTTCAGTTTTGTGTTGCACCCTTTGAAAATTATCAGTTTTTCCTTTTTATACTAGTCATATCGTTTTTCTTACAATATTCAACAGTTGGTGAGAATCTTTACATAATTTCATAGTAATATTTAATATGTAAAACAGTGCTTCAAGATGAAGGTGAAAAGCTTTTCTCCCCTGCAGTATTTACTTTCCTTATTACATTTAGCAAACTTCTAACCTAGTTAGGAGAATTATTGCCTATTTGCTGGCCAGTTTGAAACAATAGAACTGTTTTGGGAACTAAGCAGAGGTTATATGTCTCTTTCTTTTCCTTAAACCCTCCTTTTTCCACTGTTGCACCTCATTATCACCTATGTAGTCTTGTGTAAGACTGTTGGTGATTTACTCCTCTCAAGAATCATGGAAGACTGCAAGTGGTCTTAAATTTTCAAAATAAACTTTACTATAAAGATTCAAATGACTGAAGCATTCACACAGCGCTTAAACTATAGAACTTGCTGCTACAGGAGGCAGTGATGGCCACCAACCTAGATAGCTTTAAAAGAGTGTTGAACAGGTTCATGGAGAAGACCATCAATGGCTTCTAGCCATGATGGCTATGCTATGCCTCCACAGCTTGAGGTTTCCAAATACCAGGTACTGGAGACTGCAGGAGGGAAGAATACTCTTGTGCTCAGACTCTGCTTGAAAATTCCCCTTAGGCATCTGGTTGGCAAGTGTGAAAACAGGATGCTGGACTAGATGGAATATTTGGAAATTATTTCCTAAGTGTATAAAGATGTCTGGAATAAACTCTAGGAGCATAAAAGCAGTAGTCTCAGTAGGCTAAGGCTCCTGTCGTCTTGTTGTTTTTGAATAATAAATGGGTGGTAATTATTACTATACCATATTAACACAGAATAAATCTATAGTCAGCTGTGACAAGTAAACAGATTAACTGTCTACCAGCATATACAGCATAAAGTTGTTTGATATAGGTTTAGGGAGATAAAATAAGGTATCACATATCACTATGGTTTTTAAATTTAAAAAGTTGACCTTTTCATTAAAAACATCACTTGGTTTCAAACTGCATGTAGTAGTCTGACTTGAAGCAACTAAAACCATGCTGTTTTGTAGCTTCCTGCTGTTGGCACCGAATGGATGTTTGCTTCTGCATTGTATGAACTTCATTTTAATTGTGGGTTGTTCATAAATAATTCATCTGATAAAATTAATAGTGCAATTTAACATTATAATGAAAGACAAGGCCTTTCACTTTATCTTGTTATATGTCTTGCATCAGTACCAAATTAATGTAACATTATTTCAAATAAGTATTTTAAAAAAAAATATGTATCTCAGATAAATTTCAGTGGAGTTATATTGGAGAGTCTCAGCTTGATCTTTCATCAATATTTGTTAATCTGTTAACATTTGTTACAGTTTCTACTATTAAGCAAACCAAACTTCTTTGATATAGAATAATCAGTTTGCTATTGTTAGCATTTCTGAGGAACCAAGAATATCTGCCTTCAAATTTGGTTGGCTTGTCTTCAGTTTCACAGCAGAGCCTATAGAGTGCTGTGGAACTATTTTTTGTGTATGTCTACTTTATATATTTCAAAAACAGTGCAATGGAGAGGATTTGATTTGGCTTGACTTTATAAGGAAGGATAAATGTGGAAAAGAAAGGTATTTTGGCTGACACACAGCTGTTACAATTGTAAAATGATAGATGACAAATCATATAATATAAATGAACATGCAAATGATTTTCTTCAGCATGATTCCATGCATGAGATTATATATATCATTATTTAACATGGTGCTGCATTGGTCTAGTTTAAATAAATAATAGGAAAAGCTATGGAGTAATTCAGAAAAAATAGTACCATAAATACACTAAAACTTGAGTATTGCCGAACATATCAGCAGGGATAAGCAATTTCCTGTTCACATTCAGGACTTCCTATGGAGGTACAGTCTGCGTGACTACCTAATAACATGTACATGAAAATTGATTAGTTCTATTTTTCTCTCCTAATTGCTATAGATCTGAACTTGTGAAATTGACCAAAAGTAGTATGTTGACATCACAATTGCACAACAAAAGCATTCTGCTTTAAATAATACTCTGTTATTTTCTTGAAAAGGTCTTGGTTGGATGACTCATACTCTTTATAAACCACATTATAATGAGCTACTTGGAGAGACACATTTTCTCTTTCCTTCATCTTTTGACAAAGGGATGTGCATTATGGCTTTTTAAGTTGCTTTGAGCCTTTGTAACTATATACCAGAAGAAGAGTAGGGAATGTATAGAACATTCCAAGAAGCTACTAGATAAGGTTGAAATAGTTTCAGTTCTCATATTTATTAAACACAGTTTTCCATAATAGAAAAAGCATTCTAAAGAGTATTTAGTGTTCCTGAATGAGTCACATTTCTCTGCAGTTATAAATATACTCCAGACAAGAGTTCTTGGTTTCTTGTGCTTTCCTGAACAACTCAGAGCTAATGCATCTTAGGCTTCTGGAAATATATGCTGTCATTTCTCTTTCCCCCCTCCCTCCCCCGACTCTGCAACTAGAATAATTTGAACAAATGGATCCCGATTAATTAGGTACTTTTGTTGTTGCTATTTGGTGCTACGAATTTTATATTTTTTATGAACTGGGGTCGGGACTTATGGAAAAAGTTAATAAAGCAGCCTGTAAAGTCATCAGGCATGACTTTGGGGGTCAGCCGATGTGCATTTCCAGATCTACTGCAAAGTTGATCCTGAGTCTGGTTTTATTTATTTCTTCAATATTCCTAAAGCTCACATTTCGATTTGCTGTCTAAGATATTATCAGTGTTTGTTCAAAGTAAAAAGGCCTTGATCAAGTGGCCTTCATTACTCTTTACATGCGTCTCCACTGAACCTAACAACCTGATGTCAAGGTTTCCTATGCAACCAAAGACAGCAAAGAGGAAAGTGTTAGGTTGTTTCTTCAGACAAATTCTATTGCTGTGGCTGTCTTCAGTTCCAAGGGAAACAATTTATATTCCACCTTCCGGATTTCATTACATGTCTTCATGAAAATAAAGTTAGCCAAGAAGTAGTACTTAAATGAATGATTTTGCATGTTGAGTGCCCTGGGGCTGCTTATACTCCATATGTTTTAAGCATATTCCCTCACTAAAAAGTCATAAGAACTGTAGTTTACCTCACAGGGAGCTACAATTCCCAGCACCCATAACAAGCTATAGTTCCCAAGTTTCTTGTGGGGGACAGTGCTTTAAATGTATGGAGTGTGTTGTACCTTAAACTCAGGACTAAAATGATTGGTTGAACTGGGTTCCAAAAGCTTTAACAGAGGTAATTGTTTGGTAATTGTACTTTACACTACATATCTTCTTCGAATCTTACGGGCTTCCCCCCACAACCAGTAATTTCTGTTGAGTAATTTCATACATGTGGACATTATATGGCTATAAATCTGTGTATTTCCCATGTAACTGGTGATACTGAGAATCCTAGCATGTCCTTTTGTGGATAGAAATAAAAAAATTGTGGCAGTCTTCCCTGTCAACATAATTGAAAATGTATTGTGTGAAATCTGGTGTGCTACTCTTGCCAGTTTGAGGGGCAGAGTTGATGGTGTCTCATGACTCTCCTCCCAAAAAAAGATTCTGGAAAAATATTGAAATGAAAATATTACACCACTAATTCTACTTCAGCAGACTGTACGTTTGAGAGGAATATATTCATTTCCATATCTTAGCATATAGAAGTTGAGACATGCTTTCATATACATCTAAAGGTTTCAGAGAAGATGTGTATAGTCTGAACATCTGCTGGTCTTCAGTAAAATATAGGTTTCCCCCTCTTCTTAACATTCCAGCATTTAAGATAAAAAAAGGAGTTGCATAGCTATGGAAACGGGAGTAAGTGGTTGCATCATAAGGCTATATATCTACTCCTTAGTGGTTCCACTTTTGCAGAAAACAAGTGTATTGCATAATAGTTAAACTTTTTGCTCCAAATCTTAAGGCTGAAGATTTCAGAACAGATGTTGGAAGATGTTGGCGGTGGACAAAGGGATCGTAGAAGAATGGTTATCGGAATACAAGGTAATATATGGTTCCCAAAAATAAATATTCATTTTCAAGAATTAAATGCTAGCAATCATCCATAGTAGTAGAGCCAGTATAGTGTAGAGCAGAGGTCCCAAACCTTTTGGATATTGTGGACACATTAGCTATTTTATAGAATCCTTCACAGAATGGCATCATGGGAGTCATACCTATCAGAAACCCAAGACCTTGTCAGGACTTAATACCATTGCACAGAGATCTTTACAGGTTGTCAATCTGGGTACAGGGCCAGGTTCAAGATGTTATAGTACAGTATATAAAGCCCTTAACAACTTCAGACTAGTTACTTACAATATCATCTTACCCTGTATATGTCCACTCGACTACTTCGACCTGCGGAACTGGCACTGTTATAGGTGCCACATAATACCCGTTCTGCATTCATAAGAAATCAATCTTTTAATGTGGCAGCACTTACACTTTGGATCTCCCAGCCTATTGATACCAGGCAGGCACACTCACTGTACTCTTTTTAGCTCCTGCTAAAAATATTTTTTGTTTAGACAAGCCTACCCAGATAATGTGGCATGTTTATATGTGGTTTGATTGTTTTTAGTTTATTGCTGACCCCCCCCGTTTTTTTCAAATGTTTATATAATAGTTTTAACTTATTTCTACCAATACTTTTGTTGTTTTATTCTCTTTGTAGACCACTTTTATACCTCAATCAAGTGGCATATAAAGTTTATGAAATAGATAAATAAAATCTCGATCTAATTTAGTCTTCTTTGCAACTTTACCATTCATACTTTCTTTTTGTCCCATATCACCACCAAAAGGCATACATGCACCCTTTCTCGCAAGAACATTGTCCTTCAAACTCTCCCTCTATTCCCCATTTTCTACTTTTCCCTTTTTTCTATGTATATGAATGGCTAGAATATACCTTTACATAAGTTTAGGTGCCAGGCAAAACGTTTCTCTTTAACCAGGTCTTTGGCGTGGACTGATTAAAATTCTGTGTCCTTTTAAATGAGTTTGTGGGAGGGAGGTTATCGGTCTGTTTGTTTTATTACCGGTATATATTTTGTGTCCTCATTTTGTATTTTCATGTTGTGAACTGCCCTATGATCTTCAGCTGAAGGGTGGTATACAAATTTAATAAAAAAAAATATTATGAGGTACTTTTGCCCACAAGAAAAATACAGCCTGAAAAAATAGGATGAATACCTCATATGAAGAAGGGGAAATAAATATCTTAATTGCAAAGAAACTTATATATTGGCTTACTGTGTCTTAAAATGTTTTGTGTTAGACAGTGCCAGAAGCATCTATACCAAGCTATGCTAAAAATCTGAAAGACAAGAGTTCTCTGGTTTCATCTCTTTATAAAGTTATTCAGGATCCACAAAGTGAGGTAGGTAAATGTGTACAGAATTATAACTGGGGTTGGGAGAACTGTTGAGAATAAATGGTGCATGCTGTTTCACTGCAGCACTAAGTTCTTAAGAAGTGGGCAGGGTGAGCAGAAGTAAGAACAACACAGAGCACTAAACCTTGTCCTCTTCTTTACGAGACCCTGCTTTAGACCTCTTGTTTTGACTTTCTGTAGATACTACCTTTGTATATTTCAACTTTTCTATGGCGCTGCTAAGACTGGAAATCTGATTTTAAAGAGTACCCTTTTCAGCTGAGAGCCAAACTAGATGTGAAATTAAATGTATCAATAATTAGATAATTATTGGAATTGTGGGAGAGAGTTTTAACTGTTTTCTTTCCCTGCTGCATTTCTGATCAAAGACAGAAATTCACAGTGTGCCTATTTCTCTCTTTTGTGGTGATGAAAGAGCAGCTCTGATTGAGTATGGCATAAGGGGAGAATGGGGCATACTAATTTAACATTTACAATACAGTGGTGCCCCGCAAGACGAATGCCTCGCAAGACGGAAAACCCGCTAGACGAAAGGGTTTTCCGTTTTTGAGTTGCTTCGCAGGACGAATTTCCCTATGGGCTTGCTTCGCAAGACGAAAATGTCTTGCAAGTCTTGAGATTTTTTTTCCGCTTTTCCCCCCCTTTATCTAATCTGCTAAGCCTTTAATAGCCTTTAATAGCCTTTTAGCAGCTAATCCGCTAAGCCTTTAAGCCTTTAATAGCCGCTAAACCGCTAATCCGTTAAGCCGCTAATAGGGTTGCTTCGCAAGACGAAAAAACCGCTAGACGAAGACTCTCGCGGAACGGATTAATTTCGTCTTGCGAGGCACCACTGTACAGAATTGTTTCTTTTAAGAATTGATAAATTTTGCTTCTTTAAAAAGTGTAGAAAAGCATACTGATGTGTTAATCCACTAACAAAATATTTAATGTTTGATTTTGTTTCAGTTGCTAGAACCAGTCTGTCATCAGCTGTTTGAATTTTATCGTAGTGGTGAGGAACTTCTGCTTCAGTTCACACTGCAGTTTCTTCCAGAACTGATATGGTGCTATCTTGCTGTTTCTGCCAGTAAGGACCTACAAAGCAGTGGCTGCATAGAAGCACTTCTCTTAGGAGTTTATAACTTGGTTTGTATTCACACTTGAGAAATTAATTATTCTCTCTTGGCATAAAGTGCAAATTACAGTGTAATGTCCCGGGGGCCTCTTAACCAGTTAGATCTAAATCCCTGTGACATACTGCTATTAGCAGAAATGTTCATGTGGTTTTGTCAGAAAACAAGCCAAAAATCTGGAGTATTAACTTGCTCTGGTTTGGTATTCTCTGTATTGACATTAGTTGGATTTAGCAATTGTATTCTGTAGATTTAGCACAGTGGGATGAAGGAAGCTGTTTTAAAACAGTTGAGCTATGCGGCATTCATCAGTAGGCATTCTTCATATCACATGTTTACCTTCTAAGCTCATTGTGATAGTAGTAGGATAACTCCTCCCTGGAGCGTCCCTCTGACTAAATATTTGGGAGAGTTGCATGGTAAAATGGGCTGTGTATTATTCTAAAAGGAAAACAGGGTTGGAAGTAGGTTCCCTGCTTCCTTCTATAGTCTCTCTCCACCCACCCCTCAGTATCTCCTGATGTGGTATGTGAGATATTGGTGAGAAAATGAGTGGGGGGTTGCTGCAGCAGGAAGCAATCCAAAGTACATCTGATATTGGAGTGGGGGAAGAAAGTATGTGGAGGATCTGCTCTTTGCTGTAGAATTCCCAACACCCTTTTCTTCTGCTTGAAAGTGAAAGACATTGGGAGGAAGGGCAAAGTGGGTGGGTGAGAGAGACTACAAAGCATTGTCTTGCTTTCTATTACAAGATAATGGAGCAATAGATTAACAATGTGCCTTTCCTAAACTTTCCTTGGCTCTACTCTGTGTCTTTGGAGGGGGTGGGAGAGACAAACATGGTCTGTATTCTGGGAAGGCATTTCCATTTCTGTACTCTGGTTAATATGCATAAGCATACTAATGAAAAGAATGTGATTAGCTGATACAGTTAATGGCTATCTACCTGAGTTTATAACCATGGTAATTACTTTTTCTGTATTAAGCTCAGAATTGGTGTTTCACTGCATCAGTGGTGTTTAAATGTGGAATGTCTTGATTTTGATGGAGACTTAAAGGAAACTCATTTCTCAGTTTTCTATCTGTACTTAAAGCAGTAGTCTCATATAATAATAAACAGAGTCTACTTTGCAAAACACACTGTGTTCATCTTGTGGGTAAGCTTATATACCTTGAGGACAGAGAGATCAGAATAATCAAGGGTCTGTCAAGGCAGCCCCCAAAGTCAAGCAATTTAAGAGACGGCTGAGTCACAGTGCTATGTAAAGCGCAAGTGACTTTCAGAACCTATAAAAATGAGTGTGACTATCAGCCATTAATGATAGTTTTCTTTCTCTGTTCCTTGTGATAGAAATCTCTGCTGGATCAAGAGAACTTTCCATTAACTGGTGTATGCCATTAGATATGACCCATAAGATTTATTCAGGACTCTAAAGAAGCAAACATATTGAGCAAGATTAGACTTGATTAGTCTATATTAGAAATATTTCCACTTGAGTAAAACTTCTAATATGTCAGCTGTCAGATGCTTTTTGATTAGGACATCCTAGATGTTAAGAATAAGATGATGCTGGATTTCCACATTCATCATCTTGTAAATTCAAGTGTTCACATGTGCATCCATTTAGTAGCTTTGGGCATAATTAAAGCGCTAATGAGGGATGGGAAGTTCATGCCCTACTCTGTTGCAGTTGCTCAAGTGATTTCTAATCTAAACAAACTTCCATATATTTTTCATTATATGACCTAACTTTCTTTTATACCTTACAGGAAATAGTTGACAAAGAGGGGCACAGTAGGGTATTAAGTTTTACAATTCCATCCTTATCCAAACCTTCCATATATCATGAAGTAAGTTTAATAGACACTTCTGTTTCCATATGTGTGTGTAGTTTTGTTGTAGCCTCCCTTGCATGAATGTCATCTGGCCTTGATTTTGTCATCTTAAGGATAAATATTTTTGTTTTAAAAGTCTGCTGGTAGTGCAACTAGTTGCTGTTTCTTACAAAGGCACAAGTGATTAGGGCAAAGATGAACACAAGAGTACCTGGGTTTTGCATGCCCTCCAGGTGTTTAAATTGTCTCCCATCAGCCCCAGGGGGAAATGGCCCGTGGTCAGGGATGATGAGAGCTCTGCTACAAAGTATTGGGGGTGGGGGGATCAGTTTGGGAAAGACTGTTCTAAAAGTATCCTTAATGTGAAATATTTGAAGTAAAATATGATGGGCTTCAGTGTTCTAGAATATATAATGTTGAGTTTAAATTATCTGAAAAGTATTGTCATGGCTAAAGTTCTAATAAGTTTCAGGTGTAACTATGTAGAACAGGCATAGGCAAACTCGGCCCTCCAGAGGTTTTGAGACTACAGTTTCCATCATCCCTGACCACTGGTCCTGTTAGCTAGGGATGATGGGAGTTGTAGTCCCAAAACAGCTGGAGGGCCAAGTTTGCCTATGCCTGATGTAGAACCTAACTTATTTAAAATTATGAAATATTTTACATTAGCTTTGTCAGTGGAATAATAAAGCTGAAGATAAAATGAGAATAAAATGTCTGTTGTTGGTTAGCGTTTAAGTGGATGAAAACTGTGATAACCCAAAAATTTGATGTATTTCAACAAAACGTTTAGCACTGAAGTATAAGGACACATGATAGCAACAGACCCTCTTGCAAAGTTAGGTCTGTTGCCAAATCCCTAGCTGCAAGGGAAATTGGGAACATAGCACAAGTTGGGCTGAAGGCAGGAACTGAGCCTACCCCGCCCCCAAGTTTTAGCTGGTTTTCTCCTGATGAGGCTCCAATATCAGAGGAAACTCCTGTTAAGAGGTCATTAGCTCTTTTTAAAAATAGTTTCACTTGGACTTGCACAGGGAAGAGTTCAGCTCCCCTTTCTAACCCACCTGTGCCAGTAAACTGATCTTGTTACCACTCTTAAGTTACTATTGAAGTGGCACAATGAATCTTCTGTACTATATTTTAGTGGCCTTTCCCCATTTTACTTATGAGTGTACTGCTTACCATGTAACATTCAGTTAAATTTTATACTTTTATGTTTGTCAACAATCAGCTGTCTATTTTAGTTTCTTTGTGCTTTAAAAAAAAATAATTCAGTACTGCTGTTCTTAGTGATGTATTCAAGTATCTGTTTTTCTTAGCCTTCCAGTATTGGGTCAATGGCTCTTACTGAGGGTGCTCTATCTCAGCATGGCTTATCCAGGGTTGTGTATAGCGGACCTCATTTGCAGAGAGAGATGTTAACAGCACAAAACAGGTAAAAATGCATGCTGTTGCTTTCAGTCTTAAGACAAAAAAAACCCACACTTGGCCACTTATCAATTATCCTTCCATGTTATCTTCATATCCCACACTTAACAGAACTTTTAATAGTATAGTTTATATGTTAGTGGTGTGTTCTTGATAACAGTTCATAATGTGTGTGTATCAAGCCTTGTGTATTTTTTCAATGAATCAGAATTCTTTATTTGTTCATAGGTTTGAAGTATTGACATTCCTTTTGTTGCGTTACAATGCTGCCTTAAGCTATATGCCTGCAGTTTCTCTTCAATCTTTATGTCAAATCTGTTCAAGGTAAGTTTTCTTTCTTGGTTGAATTGAGAATAGTATTTTAAATTGTAATCCTATGGTATCTGTTCCATCTGTAGAGCTTGGTACAAGTTAAAACTCCAGTGGGTGATTTTTCATTTCTGGAAATGCATAAGCCAGCTGTTATGCAGGTTTGTCATCATTCTTAGGTGAAACACACAGGTTCCTTGGTACATGGAAAACAGTAATCTAAAAGAGGAGGGCAGGTGCTTCAAACAGTACTTTTGGATCCCAGCCCTAAACAGGATCGCTGTCTCTCCACATTTGGCCAGTGTAAAAGAAGAAGAGAGCTCCCTGTAGGGGAAGTCATATTCTTGAGAGGTAGGCGACCCTGCTCGTCACATTTAGCCCATAAGGCTGATCCTAATAAGGATCTGCCCCATGGAGTCCAAACAATTCCCCACCCTGAATCAGTCAGATGTACACTCAAATTCTGAAGTTTAATTAATTGGTTTGTCATACTATTGTATCCAAGGCAAAGCTCTTCAGGAATCCTGCTGGAATCTTTTATGAGCTGGATTGCTAATTGAACTTGATTTAATAGAAATTTGACCAGATAAGAGCAATGTTTCGGTTTGTAGGAGACAACTCTGAAAAGATGGAATTGGCTAGTTAGATGCACTCAATGCACTCTTATTTGACCTAAAAAAAGAACATGCATTTCAGGATTCTTTTCAACATAACAACTGCACACTATACTTTTTAACACACAATCAAGCAATCTAAAATAACAATACTAATACTAATTATATTCTTTTAGGATCTGTGTTTGTGGATATCCTCGTCAACAAGTAAGGAAATACAAAGGCATAAACAGCAGGATTCCAATTTCCTCTGAATTCATGGTGCAGATGTTAACTGGGATTTATTATGCTTTGTAAGTTCAGGAAACGTTATGTCCTATATTTAAAAAAGAATAGTACATTAATGGTTGGACAGTGTACATAGTGCATAATGCTCATTTACATGACAGAGTCCAGTGATCCTACGGGTGCTGTCACAAAAGATTTTGGTTTCTGAAAGTTATATCTTACCTTTCTGTAAAACATAATGATTGACTCTAGAGGAACCTTAAGGCATATGTCAGTGTGCTTTGAACTGTCTTTCCCAGGAAGGGGTGCAGCTTGGAACTGTTCTGCTCAGGTTCTGCTTGTGGAGCTTCCCATGGGCATCTGATTGGCCACTGATCTGATCCAGCAGGGCTATTCTGATGTTCTCATGGAGCACCAGCCACATTTGAGTAAAGTTACCATCTGGGCATCCACAAGCAGTGGCAGACCAAGCAGCACTTTAGATGTGCTCCTTTACCACCAGGTTTATCCAATTCCAGGTCCTACCATTATCTCTGACCATTGGTCATGCTGGCTGGGGATACCAGACAGAGCTAATGACTAGAAAATATCATTGTAAATATCAGTGTTTCCAAATAGCTTCTATTATTTATTGAATACATATTGTTGTGCATTTTATTTCTATTACGATAAATGATTCATCCAGATGGATCTATAATGAATAACATGTATGGTTGTGATGTTGAAATGAATAATCATTATAATCAGTTCTGATTTTGTGTCTCTGCTAACTTTCTAGTTATAATGGAGAATGGGATCTAGCTCGTAAAGCAATGGATGATATTTTATACAGAGCACAACTGGAGTTATATCCAGAACCACTGTTGGTAAGCATCTTGTGTTAAATTCTTCTATAGCATTTGTACATTTTATTTAAAACATTTATATCCTGATTTCCCAGCTCATATGAACTTGCCAAAGTAACGTAAGCTAAAATATTAAAAACAATCTTCCATAACAATTAAAAAGCAAATCATAGGCAATGAGCTAATAAAACCTTCCAGAAAAAGAGAAAATATTGGAGAATAAAACAAATTGGACACTAGTCTGGCCATGTATTTGCTAAAAACACAGGCAGAGTAGGAGCCAGATGGATATCCTCAGAGAGGGAGCTCCATAACCTGGGAACTACTGTGGTAAAGGCAATCTCCCTCATTACCACCCTCCATACCTCTAATAGCAACAGGAGATACCAAAGTATCTTCTCCAGTGATCCAAGTGGATGGGTAGCTTTATGTAGAAGGAGGTTGTGCTTTAAATAGCCTGGTTCTTGGACCAGGGTTATATAGGGTTAAAAAACTTATGAGTCGCTTTTTTAATTAGGACTGGAAATTGATTGGAAGCTCTAGGTGTAAACTAGGACATGCATAATCAAGGGCAGACATGCATTCTCCAAGAATATGTACAGTTGGCCTAAGCTATACAAACACACTCCTGGCCATGGCTGCCTAGCCTTCCAAGGGCAAAGCTGCCTCTAAAACAGGACGGCCCAACTCCATTTTTGGGGGCCTGGGGGTACATTTGGAAATCTAAAACTGTCGTTGGCACCACAAAATTCTCATTTCACAAGACAGTCTGGTGATGCTCAGATCCCTTCCCAATAAAAGCACCTGGACACCCCTCCAAAAATACAATACAGAGACCAAAAAGCAATCACCACCTCCTACATCAACCAAAAAAGGGCCAAAAACTATGTTAAGAACATTTGCAAATTGAGAGGGACAAGGGGCCTGGGTGGTTGCCACTGAGGTGCTGTAGTGTCCATGGATACAATATTGGGGACCCAAAGCCTAAGGCATAATAGTCTCTCAGTTTTTAAGAGCACACAGTAAATAGTCAGAAACAAGGACTTCTGTACACTTGGAATGACAGTGGATAGTTAAAAGACAGCCAGGAGGGGGAAACATGATTATAAATGGACTTCTGCAACAGCTTTTAAGGCAAGTGTTCTCAGTCTGAATTGTTTACTAATCTTCTAAAGCCATAATTGAACAGATGGAAGTCAAACTGTTTTTTGTTTTGACTTTCATCATTGATGCTTTCCTTGATACATATGAAATGTTGTTGCTTCAATTCAAAATCTGGTGTTAATGTTGAAAATTTATCACACTTTTTTGTTGATTTCTTAGGTTGCTAATGCAATAAAAGCTTCATTGCCTCAAGGTGCCATAAAATCTAATAAAGAAGGTACAAAATGTATTCAGGTTGAAATTACACCTACTGCATCTAGAATATCAAGAAATGCAGTGACCAGCATGTCTATTCGGGGCCATAGATGGAAAAGGCATGGTAAGAAATGCAGTTAATGAAACTACAATTTATTAACTAAATTCTAGAAGTCAAGGCTTCCAGAATGTCATTAAATTGGCTGATGAATTAATTGTGTTATTTAATTTCTTTTATACAAAGAGATACTATGACTTCCTGTATCAGTACTCTGATGCATAAATAACTCTATGCTTATTCAGTTTACCATTCATTATTCCTAAATTTTAATATGTACACTGCAAAATTAGTGTGGGTGTGCACCTCAGCTGCCCGTATCCAGAATTTGATCGTAACTGGAATTTTCATCTCAGGTTGAAAGCTTCTGTATATAATTTCGTTAAGAAGCAAAATAATAGATTGAATTCCCAAGAGTAAATTAAACTCTGTAAATTAAGATAACTAGAACTTCATTATTTTAAACAGTGAAGTTTATCAAATCAGTGATTTTTATTATAGTTATTTAGCTCTTAAAGTTTCCATGTAGGTTTTGTGTTAAGAATATGTTGCAAAGCAGTAGCATCCCTATGTACAAGGCCTTTTACTTTCATTTGTTTATGGGATAGTCACTATGAAATTATTTAATCACAACTTTTGATCATTAGAATGGATCTTGAATGTACCCTTCTTCCCAGTTGGGTGATCTGAGGCTTATTTCATCCTGCAGAAAACAACACATTCTATTGAGAGAAATTAGGCATACTTAGTATAAAACAAGACAACATCTACAACATATTGAGGGGCAGTATCAAGATTTACTGGGATTTATCACTCACATAATGGATTTATATCCATTATGGATCAAAAAGCAGATTGATAAGCTTATCCTACCACTTCAACAACCTTTGGACTGGGAACCTTTTCCCAATTTTATCTACGGATATAAAGTCACTGGAGAACCTATTAATAGAAAATGATGTTTTCTGACTATCTTGGAGATCAGTAGAGTATTTCACTTCAGTCCTGTGGTTTAAAGCTCAATTTGTAAAGGTTAGTGGTATCTGTTGTGATGAATCTGATCATGCAGAGATATTGCTGTCTTCTAAATGAACTGCAGCAGAATGCTTTTTTTTATAAAAAAAAAACCCTACTACTAAGAAGTACATTTGATTACTGATTTGGCCAGCTGCTGCTTCTGTCTTGTCTCCTCCTTGTTAAGAAACTGTTAAGAAAGATTTGGAGTGTTGCCCAAATTTCACTTATTTATTTGTTTAAGGCATTTCTATACTGTTTAAACCTTAGCATTTCTAAATTCAGTAACTTGCAGACTAATGGTCCAAGGACATGTAGCACTGCTTCCTTCTAACTAACACAATTTTGTATCTTTTTATGAAACTAAATATATTGATAGTCCAGAAAAGTTAAATACCTTGCACTTTTTAGAAACCAAACCATTCTTTAATATTGCCTTCCTGCAGGAGTCATACTTGATGATACAGGTGCTGAAGTTCACGAGTCAATGGTTAGGACAAGTGTTTGCTGCAGCAGATAACAGTAAGGAAAGAGGCTTGATAGTATTAGTAAAGCAACTGACTCCAATAAAGATGAACAGTTACTTTGTTAAGAAGAACAATTATTTGCCAGGTATGCAAGTGTTGCTGCAGACTCCTAAGAGTTAGTAAATTGTGAGCTTTCAATTCAGGAAGGTGATGTCATTATATTGTGTAAAATGGGGGGAAAGTTCTTTGTCTCATGAAAGAGAACTTTTATAACTTAACTGTGTTTAAAAATAATCTAGAAGAAAAGATTGGGGGTTTCCAGGCATTGACCTTCTTACCGCAAAGGAAAACAGTGTTTTGTTTCAAAGCTTTGATTCAGAGTAGAAAAGAGGCATTTCCCTGTTCCATCGCAGTCATCTCCAATTAACTACCTCCTTTGCTACTTTGTGTCATTAACCAGTGTGCATGTAGGTGGCATCACTAATCCTGCTACACCAACCTATTGCAACTGCCTAGAAGAACATAAACCCTACTGCTGCAACCTGACCACTTCACACAGGTGGGGGCAAAATGATTTAGCAAAACATGTACTGTGGGCATTAAAACAGGCACTCCCAGATTATCAGAGGTCCAGATCAATGCCATAAACTCTCTATATGGAAAGCATGCCACTAAGTGGGAGAGATTTTCAGTGTTAGTAGAGGCATGGAATTCAGTTCCATGTGTTTATGTAGAGAACACTTCAGATAGTTTTTAATTCAAAGATGGTAAACTTAGTTGGTCATTCATCAGGTTGCAATTTTAGAATCTGAAAGATTTGGACTTGGATTCTTCTCTCTCTGTGTATGTATTTTACAACAATAGCATTATTATTCTCATTTCCTATTAAGTTAATTTGCATAAGAAAAGTACAGCTCTAGTGAGTTCTTAATTTCTTGAGCATTGAGCTTGGGAAGCTATGCTCCATACTCAATAAAGGTAAAGGTACCCCTCACCGTTAGGTCCAGTCGCGGACGACTCTGGGGTTGCACGCACATCTCGCTCTATAGGCCGAGGGAGCCGGCGGTTTGTCCGCAGACAGCTTCCGGGTCATGTGGCCAGCATGACTAAGCCACTTCTAGCGAACCAGAGCAGCACACGGAAACACCATTTACCTTTCCGCCGGAGTGGTACCTATTTATTTACTTGCACTTGACGTGCTTTTGAACTGCTTGGTGGGCAGGAGCTGGGACCGAGCAACGGGAGCTCACCCCATCGCGGGGATTCAAACTGCCAACCTTCTGATCGGCAAGCCCTAGGCTCTGTGGTTTAGACCACAGCACCACCCGCGTCCATACTTAGTAGCTTGAGATAAATCAAATCAGATATTGGTGAGAGCAACATAGAACATGAATGCTTAGAAAAGGATGTCATTCTTGTAAACGATGGTATAATGACACAAAGTGTATATGTGGATGCCAAAAAGGTGGGTTAATTTTTAGCCAAGCCAATTTTATTGCTGAATTGGCATGCTTTGGAGATCTCAACTTCTGTATAAGAATGAAGAACTGGAACTTGGAACAAAATATTGGGGGTATATTCCCCAGCCCTAAAAGAACAGCAAGCAGCCTGAAACAGGAGCCTAGTAGTCCTGTTCAGTCCTTGCAGGAGTGGGGCAAAGGAAAAGGACTCCTTTTTGTGGTTCTTTGCTTCTTTTCCCTCCTTCCCACACCTTTCCCTGCTCTGTTGAGAAGGGGCTTCCAGCCTGCAACCTGAGCATTCTAGAGATATATGGCAAGGATTTCTGATGAGCAACAAAATGTATTGTTTTTCCTAAAACATTCCTATGTAGTACCATGGAGGCAGGGTTTTAAAAAATCTTTGAGTTCATGTTTCCCCAAACTAATCCCACTTCACTGTGAGCTGTTAGGGGTTTGAGCAGGATGGTGTCCTCTTGTTCCTTACCTTCCATGTTCCACACAATCTGCCAGACATCTGGTTCCTTTTATACCCCCCTTTCTTCCCATGTAAGCTCAATTGTCCTCAACATTTTGGGGAGTTCTGAATCTCCAGTGGTGTGCATTTGGGTTACTCTTGGAGTTTTACAATTTTTCATTTATTTTAATATAGGATTCTCCTAGTATATAGAAACCATACATTTATTTTTGATTGTCCTGTTTCGCTTTGAAACTGATAGGCACTTGAGTCCCTGAATTTGCTATAAAATGGAACGATTTTATTTTTAATTTTTAATCAACTGACCTCAAAACTACTTGGCTCCCAGGTCTTCAATATTTTCAATCCTCTGTCTTCCTAAATACACTTGCTGCCTTGTAATAGTATTCTCTAAGCCAGAAATCATCTGTACAACTCTAACATAAAAATACAGTGTCTTTCTTTTATATTTATTGTTCTAACTGCTTGATTTTAGAAAAGGGAAAATGTATTCTGAGACTGTAAATACATTATGGGTGATTTGGAGAGTAGACTCATTGAAATAATGGATTTCACTGGGTCTACTCTGAGTATGACTTAGTGCCATAGGGTGATAGCCAGCTATCTGAATCTCTGAGGTTAAGATTCCAGTTAATCAGAGTCAAAATGCTGTAGAAGGACAAAATGTAATTCTGTGTTTCTTTTCTTTAGTGTTCCAGTTCAGCTTTTTAAATGTGTTATTAAAGTAAAAAAACCCTATGAATTACTGAATACTGTGACTAACGTTGCAAAGATGTGTTAAGCCTCTGTTTTTCTATATGGTTTTCAGGGTGCTTAACTTGTAAAAATGCAGTTGATGATGCAGCTCTTTCCAGTGCTGCCCATCTCCCTTCCACTGATTGAACTTTCAAAATCTGATTGGACAGTGTCTATGTATTTTTGTAGTCTGTTCATTTTCCATTTAGACTGAGCATTCCATTTTGTTACAAAGCTCATGACCTCCTTATGACCTTTAGATATTCAGGCCCTGTTTTATTCCAAATTTGGTTGAATCTATTGCCCTCATGTTTTTTCTTTTAATGAAGCTGATTCTGCTAGTCACGTTGGCCCCTAATAATCATTCAACACTTTTTAAAAACTCTTTAGTTTTTGTCTGTCCAACAACCAGCAGAACCTCTTAGTTATTTTAAGTTGCTCGGCAACACAAAGGACCAGTAAGTTTTGCATGCTAATATAGTAAAGTTCAACATTTCAGTTGCGCTACAAGTGTACTATGGTGCTGGTATTTGTTACTGCTTTCCCCTTAGAAGTGATGTAAATGGCAACAGAAAACTTCCAAAATGTGTGCTAGAAGTTGTGCAGATCAAGTGTTAAATGTGCATAAGGAAGCCTTCATAGATTAAGGCAACCATGACAGCAGTGCATCTAACTGTTTCTTCCTCAGTTTAATACCATATTCTTCCTATAACAAATCAAGGTTGGCAGCGTGAAGATCCACAACACAAAGGACTTGTAATATTTGGCTGAAATATCACTTATTGGCAATTTTTAGGATTCATTTTTTACTGATGTTTTATAGTTTTCTTTGTAACATTATTTATCGTTTTGTTAAGCTGCCATGAGTGTTTCATAATAAAGGTGTAATACAAATGTTAGAAATTATTTTACTAACATTGGGGAAGATTCACAGCCTTTTTATGATCTTTTATATAGGCTGAATGCTCATGTACCTACCCAAAGAAACAGGGCTCAAATAGGGATCAGTCCACAGGGTGATGGGCCATATGTTGAAGCCCAGAGGGAGACAAAGGGGAGATGTCACATTTGCCTGGCTTCAGAAAGGTTCAAAATATTTTCTGTAAAAACATTTAGCATAGTGAATCTCCATATGTAGGATAAATGTCAATTTTATGCAATGTAAAATTAATACAGAAATAATGTTGATTATAATACAACTCTGTGAGTCAGATAAATTCCAATATATTACGGTGCAACCTAAAAGGAAATTACTTTATTATGCTGTTTCTGGATTTATTATAGTTTACTTTTACATGATAACTTTAGAGTGAATGTATTTATTTACGTATTTACTACAGTAGCAGCAGCTGACAGGTAAGACACGGACTATAATTGAAATGTCTAGAGTTTCATTTTTAAATGTTCTAGTGGCAGCAGTATCACTTTACTCTCAGAAATAATGTATGCCCTTCCTACTAATATTGCTAAATAATAGGACAGTAAGCAAAACATCTGACTTCATAACATTCAGCCTTCTAGTTTTGTCAGATTTGTCTTTTTCGTCTTTTTTTTTCTTTTGTCTCCATGTTTTTGTTTCAGCCATTTTTTTGTTTTGTCTTATCCATTTTTTAATTCTAGAACAACCAGATAATGCTAATGACACTACTGAATCGGGCAACTTTGTCATACCCGAGATTAGTGTTACAAATGTGACTGGAGAGAGAACCGGGAATGGGGAAAAAAGCAGAGCACCAACAGAGAATGATGCTCAGCATATACAGGGTGTGCAGGAAGCACCTACAGATCCTAGAGTTGACAGCAAAGGCATGCCAGAGATCAGGAGGCAAAAATCTGTAAGAAAAATTATGGAGGATGGAATAAGCTCACCTGGCAGAGTGCAGTTTTAGCAGAGCACTTTGTAGCTACACTCAGAAGGTATCGATTGAAAGGGTCACTGCTGCATGTTTGGAAGATTACAGTATACAATAAATATATTTGCATGTTACCTTGAATAAAACACAATTGCATGCTTTGCACATAGAACGGATCTTTGTGCTGAATACATTGTTAGCATGCTGGTAGTTCTTAAGTTTTAGCTTGGGAAACCACACTGAGAGACTTCAAATTGGCGGGCAACTGAGTTATTTTTAGATCAGTACTAATCTTTTAGCTATACAAAGTCACTTAAGGAAAAATTTCTTCGAAATGTACATAAACCATGTCAGTTCATCCTATTTTTTATTTTTATCATTTTAAATCTTTGCAGCCATGAGAGCTAATACTCCAGTGTGTAAGGTTTCTAGACTTCTCATTAAACCACTTTGTACTGCAGAATGTGACCTTTCAGTCCTTGAAATATAAGCACTGTTGGGTTTGCTAAAATTTGAGAACCTGCAGGTGATGCCGTATTGGCTTTTATGGTGCCCTGATTATCTAGAGCCATGATTGATTCGCTATGCAGATAGTTATGTAGATGCCTTTGCATATATTTGGAATAAATATATTTCTACCTTTCTGTAATATATCTAACCTCTTTCTAACCTTTTGCATGAATAATGAGTACTTTTTTAAATTGCTACAAAATGAGATTATAAGCATGCTTCTAATAAATTTACTTTACTATTCTGATATAAATTCTACTGTACACTTTTTGTCAATTTGAGATAATTGGTAAGTTTTCTATCTTCTCCTTAATCTTTTGCTTTGTGCTAAGAAATGCCAAAATCTTAACAGTACTGGATGCAATCACTTGCAAAACATGGTTGAGTAAATTCATATGTTAATTGTCATCTTTTTCTATGCAGGTAATGAACTAGGCATTCCAGAAGAAGAACTGATAGAGGTGTCTGAAGTTGATGAGGGTTTTTACTCTAGGGCTCCTTCTACCACAAATCATTCTGCTTTCAGCAGCAACACCAGTAACAAGACTCAGCTAGGCAAGAGTCAGCGGAGGTCTGGAGGAAGCAAGGTTGGAGGAAAAGAAAAAGAAACTGTTGGTGAAGCCTACAAAGATCATCTGTCTCGTAAACAAAACCAGCGAGCAATGAGTGAGAATTTAGAGCTTCTGTCTTTAAAGAGACTGACCCTGACTAGCAGCCAATCTCTGCCTAAGCCAGGCAGTCATAGTTTGGCTAGAACTAGCACTACTCTTTTTAGCAAATCCTTTGAGCAGGTCAGTGGTGGTGTAGTCCCAAATAATCACCACAGTGGCACAGAAGCAAACAGATTTTCAGTCTGTAGTCTGCAAGAGGAGAATCTGATTTTTGGAGCCGACAGAATAGAACTTCCTATTTCAAGCAAACAGCCAAATCAGCAACGACCACCTACCATCAGCATAACTTTGTCAGCAGACTAAGGAGCACCTGACTAATTTGTCAGTATAAAAGAGATTCAGTTGCTAGTACTATAGCCCTGGTGCCCTTTTTAAAAAAATCTTTTGAGATATCTTTAAAGATTTTCTTAGTTGAAAATAATGTCTAAATCGCAAGTTTTAAGGATTGCAGTGTTTAAAAAGAATAGGGTAGACAATTCTAAGTATTTTATAATAATGATGTCACAGTCTTTGAGATTCTTAATTTGAGGATTGACATTTGTAATGGTACTACAATAAGGTTTGTACTGAAAATCTAATACATGATGAACCTGTACCAGGGAAATTTTTAAAATATGGGTTGTGCTGCTTGTGCAAGCTTTAGTTACATGTTTTTGGTGAACAATGGGTTGCAATCCAGAATATATGTGCCATTTTACTACAAGAGGATGATGCTTTTTTTATATTCATCAAAGCAATTTTAGGAGTCCACTCAATGCAGTAGCTTGTAATGAAAAAAACATATTTGGAAATAAATCAGAATTCTGGATAGAGGTCATTGTGTTAAGTTTGAAACATTGAAATCTATGTTTTCTGGTTTCTGAAGTCACCTGCAACAAACATTTTTCAAAATATAGTGTGTATATCTGATCCATAGAGGCGGAAATGAAGCTTTGTATCTTTTTAGGCATACTAGCCCTATTCTTGTATTTAAAACACATACAAAGATCCAAGATTTGTGCTGAGCTGTCCCCTGGTGTGTTTGACCCAGCTGCTGTTCACCTGCTGAACGCCACATGTGTACGCAGACTTAAAATACATGGAGCTCAATTCTTGTATTGTCCTATCTGTACACCTCGATTGTGGTGGTACACAGATCAGTATATTGTGCATGTACATCTCTACGTAAGCTTGAAATGCAGTGCACAAGCAAACATGAAGCAGGATGGTGTGACCCTAATTCTTCCCATTTCATGTGCATTTCAAACATCAGCACAGGGCAGCTTTTTTACATCACAGGTGAATTCATAAAGCGACAAACTTTCCTTCCCTATTCAGAGCCTGTAAATCAACACAAGAAACATTGGTTTCCAGTTTCTACTGAGTTGTAGGTTTGAACAAAATCATGCATCTTGAAGCTTTCAGAAGCTTTAATATTTCAATTAAACTAAAGTATGGAAGTAGATTAGCAGTTTATATCGTCACTCATTTATTGCATTAAGCCCGTCTTATGAGTTGCATCTCATTAAAATGGTGAGCCTTATTTATATGGGTAGTGGGCTGTGTTGGAACAGATGTACCCATTAATATTTTGGAAGGGCAAATTAATATTTTTGTTTACCTGAAAGTATAAAACGACAAACCTGATATTGGTACAATGATTTTTTTAAATGATCTTGTTACAGACTTCAAGGCCATTTCCATGGGCTTCTGTGAAAGGTGTTTCTGTTCATGGGGGTATGCTGCACTCCCCCCAAAACTAGATTCTAATGGACTTTTTGGAGATTGTTGGTTGGATGTGGGAGTGGGGAGATGGGAGGAATCAATGACACACCACAGTGTAAGCTGGAGTGCCTTGTGTTTGTTTATGGACTCTGGCTCCAAGGTGTAATCTCCAAGTGTAACAATAGCTGTATCTATGTGTCCTCCCATCCTCTCTAGTTAGTATTAAATTTCAGCTGAAGTACATTTCAACTCAGAACTGCATAATAGTATATAATTTGGTTCTCTTGTGCTTCATTAGCTTTATGATTTAAGTCACAAGCAGCTGAAAACCTTGTGAACTTAAGGGCTGGATATAAAGTAAGAATATTAGTTAGATCAAACTTAAGTAAGTTCCATTGATTTCAATGGGTATCGTCAGAAATTGTACCATCAAATCAAAGGGATTGTCTTCTCTTAATTTCTAGAAATCTAAATTCTCTAACCAAAATTAGCAGCTTTTATCTAACTGAACTAGACAGTTTCAAAAAAAATCTTTTTTCCCCTCAAAAGAATGAAATTTAAAAACTTGTGGGCCTATATTTTGTTTAATCACTGATTTACTTATTATAACAGTATTATACTTGACCTTTTACAAGCGAAAGCATCTACAGTTTTCACCATATTTTACTGGCTTTTAATATTTTATCTAGTATAGGCAGAAGAGAATAACTTTTATACAGGAATATATAGCCATTGTAAATTAAAGTGAGCTAAACTTCTTCCTATGACTATTTAAAATGCTATGATACAATATTATGTTTTTAAAAAATGTTTACAGTGATGTAGTTTTGGAACAGTAGTTGATACTTTTGTTTTAATGAAAATGTTTTGGGTTTATTGCACATTTAAGTAATCTTGTTCTAGAATTACACCATAAACTGCCAGAAAGGTTAAAATAACATATATCTTCTACATACTTCAGTTAGCAATCAGGCTTGTTGCTCAAAGTAACTTTGAAATAGGATATATGACAGTTTTCATATTTCCTCCATGCATACATCCTGATACAAGAAGAGATTTTCTGTAGATGTGCAGTTATATTTATATATGATATAAAGTACAGCTGGAGTGGACAGGTGCAGAACTTTCAGGCATACTTAAGTATGGCCAAAATCAAAGACAGACAGGCATCTTGATCAAAAACAATTCTTCATAAATATTGTTAGCCTTCAAAGGCAACTTGCACTTTTATAAGCCATGAAAGGGTGATTTGTATAATCCTACCTATATGGAATACTGATTTGGAATATTTTAAATAATTCTCATAAAACTGACTTTTCCCCCCACTCTGGCCTTATGATACAAGTATTTAAATTGCACAATCTGTAAAGTATGATAGAGATATTCTCTTGAACTTTGCCCCAGCTTGCTCAAAATGCCTACTATGATCTTGGACCTGGAAAAATTATCACATAACCATGAGGTTTATAATGCCTGGGACCTTTAGACTTGTATAACAGAATTTTTAGTGAGTGGCAGTTTCCATTCTGAAATAACACTGTGTTGCTCACTTTCACGTTTCAAACCAGCTCTGGAATATAAAAGCTACCTTTGCTTTGTTAAATAATTACATTTTATCAGTACTGAAACATTCTTGTGGTTTGGGCAACTGAAATCTAGGCTTCAAAAAGGTTCGCTAAATAATGTTTTAGGGAGGTTGCTTCTGTGCCTGGATGAATGTTATCTACTATTTAAATTACAAAATAGAAACATTTCATTTTACACACACACACACAGAGACACAGACTGTACTTGGTTCATTTATTGACTCATTGCTGAGTTTGAATTCTCATCAAAGTCAGTTGAACTAACACTTGTCCCATAGTGAGACAATTATAACATAGTTGGGTTGCCTTTGTTAGACTTTGCTGTGGTGGCAAATACTTGTTTTCTTTAAAAGAAATTAACATTAATGAAAAAATTGGAGACCACAACCTGGGAAGAACAAGTACTGAAAGATTTTAGCAATCTTATTGAGGGAGCCAGCCTTTGATCAGATACATAAAATTTATGAATGTATCTTTCAGTGATGGGCACATATTTTTCATGTTTTGGTTTTGAAATGGGCTAGTTTTCTTTCTCTGAATCTTTACTGCATCCTTTTGCATAGTTCCACTTTTGAAAACAATTGGCTCTATGTATATTTTTAATAACTTGCTTATTACAGGGAAGACTTAACACCAGTTGATACATTGTTCCTTAACAATATGAGAAAGATTAAGTTAAGTGTGCCACTTTCTCTTTTGTACTGTAGTTTGTGAATATTTTCTGTTTTGGTAACAAAATGCTTGTTTTGTATAGTTTAATAAATAAATTGCTTATCTAGAATTCACATTCCTAAAATAAGGAGTCTGGTGTTTGTTTTTAATAAACCAACAAGGGTCTTGGTTTCTGAGATTATGTACACTGTGAATACTTACATGTGTATTGAAATTATGCTTCTTGGTTGTGGTATGGTTTTTGAAATCGTAGCCAAGAGAGATTCCGATATTCAGTATTTACCACTTTTTAAATGCAATTAAAGTATCACCACAAATACCATACCTTATTTAAACCATGCCTATTAATACTATTATGTATATATAACATCTTTTGTATTTCTGTTGTCAAAGCCTCACATATATAAAGCAAATACAACCTCCAGTATGTTACTGCTGGATCAGAATTTTATAATAATTTGTGAACCCACTAGCAGTGGTGCAGGAGGGAATCAGACTGAAAATAAGAGACATGAGACTAGAGTTTCTATTGAAATAAGACTACTTTATTTACAGAATACAGAATAGTAAGTTTGGTGCGGCACAGCGCAGGGATCTGATCATTGAGCCCATTTGCTGGTTGATGTGTTCCACTCAATGCAGTTGCCAGATCCACTAGGAATTGGGGGTTACAACTTTCAACAGAATTTTACCTCATCAGTTGTTACCACTGCTCTTGTATTAGAATTTTATCCTTTGTGGTCAACTCAATTGGGTGGTTCTAAGATGGCTAAATTGTGAGTAAACTTTTGAGCCTTGATCTTTCTGTTCCCTTTCCCCAAAGTTTTTATATTCCTGGTAAGAACTGTAATTTAGCATTTCCCTCCTGTGCAGCTGCATCCATTTTTCTTAAGTTCATGCAACTGCATAAAGTAAAACCAATGGGTAAAATAAATTCCAATCTTCATGGTTTGAAGCACAAAAGAGACTAAGATGAATGTAGGATTTCTTCTCAAAAACACTTCCTAATGTGGTAAAAATTGTTCCTTCTTACCCCAGTACTTTCTTTGCAGTATTACTAAGCTAAAAAGATTGTATGATTAGTGCACATGCTAATGGACAAATGAAATGTGATGATTACATGAACTTTTTGTTATGTAAACAGCTACTGCCGGGGCTGTGGAGAGAGTTTAATTCTCCCCCCACCCAGTCAGGTTCCCACCTAAAATCACCTGCCAACTATCTGCAGATTCTTGAGTTGAGTTGCTCCTAGTAAAGTCAGAAGCTCTTGACCCTTTGGGTATTGGATGATTTAGGTCATAGATGTTCAGCCTGTGAAACAGATGGCACAGTTCACTGACAGGGACAAGATGAACTGTAGGCCTGACCATGACATAAGGCTGCACCCTTCTGCATTGTTCTGAGGCCTGTTCCTTGGCTCAGTAGGCCAAAGGCAAAACCACATCAAGGCACCAAAGGATGCATATTTTAGAAATGATGTCAAATGGATAGCTACTTGTCAAACGGATGACCAATGTTTTATGTAAACTAGATTAGGAAGAGTTGCTTATTAAAAGGTGGCCTGTAATGGTGGTATTAAATTTATATATTCCAACCGATCACAAAGTATGTAAGGCCCCTTAATTTTAAGTGTGAGAGTTGCCCTAAAGCAGGCACATCCAACTCTCTATAGAGACTGCGATCTACTCCCAGTATAAAACTGGCAGTGATCTACTCATTGTCTTTTTTTGTGTGTTTTTTTAGAGTGGAGGGCCCACAGTTGTTGAGCTTTGTGGGGGGAGGACAGACCAGAGCTGTTGAGCTTTTTTATGGGGGGAAACCCAGAGTTGTTCTGGCAAATTTTCTTTGTGTTCTTTCATTTCAATAGGCAGTTTTGGGTAAATAGGGAAAAACAACAACTTAAGAGTTTTCCTAATTTCTTAAGGACATAATTGAAAATGCTAATCTATGTGAAGGTGTGTGACTATTGTGTCAGGATTGCAGTGTTTTTACAACTGCAAATGTTCTATGTGGATAGTTGTGTGTATGCAGGAAGCGAACATTTGTGCAAATGTCCAGTCTGACAGGATTTGCTGAAGTAGTCTGGGTTTCATTCAGTACAGAGGGTTGGATTCAGACTTGTTGCATTTAAGTTCCCAATGAAATCAAAGGGACAAGTTAACCATCACTCAGGTTCCACTAAAATCTATGGGACACAAGTTCAGTTACTTTAAGTCCGAACCCAAATCAGAGGAACTAAGTTGGTCTAGAAGCTATTGAAAAATGTATTGGCTGAACATGTTCCAGTTGGTCTCTCCAGGGAAATCATGTGGGAGAAAGAAACCAAGAGCATGCATGCAGTGGGAGGAAAGCCATCCAGCTTCATGTTCATGTACCCTTTCACCAAATGGTTTCATAAATGGGAACAAAACTTGTGTAATTCCATCTCTTAAGAAAGGGCAGGTGCACATGGAAGGAAGCCCATTCACATGGATACCTATTTCTAGAACATTTACCTTGCATGAGAAGTTGCACAGGATGGAGATGAGGGGCATGGGCCAGGCAAACTGCTATACTTACCTGAAAATAGTGTATGAGCTGTCTCTCCAGTGGATTTAAACACCAAATGGGAGTCCATTCTGCTGCATCTCAGGTAACAGCACTGATTTCTTAAAGAATGAGATGGGTGATGAACAATCTAAATTCTCTTTCTTTATAGATGAGTAATGTGTCTGATGTTCTGTTTCATTTTGCAAAAAGCACTCCCCCCCCCCCCAAATTTTCCTCTTGCAGAAAGCATCCCAAAACAACAGTGGAATGCTAAGTAATCAGATGTGATTAGAACTCATCCTATATTTATTTCAAAATGTGTTCCTGTAACATCACAAGGCGCCACTATAACTGATAGAGTATTGGTACTCTACAGCTCAAATTCCCGGCCTGAACTATGCACTTCTTGAGCACAAGCGTTTTGCTTTGTGGTAATCCTGCTTTTGCGTCAAAGCCAGGATTAGAATGAACAAACAGGTGAGGAAGAAAGCAAAGCAAAGGGAAATTAAAATTAGAACAAGATCTTCTAATGTGCAAAACATAAGCCATCTGGGGATTTTAACTTGGTTTTAGATTCTTAGCTATTGGGGAGCTGCCCAGGATACTAGTGATTGCTAAGGATTGTAGAACACTGTAAATCTCTACACCAAATTGCACTAGAGAGGATTATTTAAAATTGCTCTAACAATTTAGATAAAGTTGTCATTAGTGTCTAATTAAACTAATTCTTATATGTTGTGCAGAATGGACTCCTTTCCATTAGTGCGTAAGTAGTTCAGTATTCATGAAACCTGAGTGTGTACAAGCTAGCCTACTTTACAAAGGGGAAATGAATATTCATTGCACTGCTCACTTCGGCCTCACACTCTGCCTATAGCTGGCATGTGGCTATCAGAAAGTTGCCATAAGGGAATGTAGGCCTCAAGCTCATAAGGGTCCTCACCTCTGATGCAATCCTCCCATGTTCTAGTCAAATTTCACAACATTTCTACTGCTTATAGCCACTCCAAAACCCGATATGGGAATTTTCCTGTTCCCCCAGTTCAAGCCTCTTCCAGTAGTTAAAATAGTGGTTGCTACTATTACTGCCCCTTCCATGTTGCTGTTTGTTCTTTTTGTGCTCAATTGCTAATTAGAGCCTATATGCCAATTTATTCCTGTATGTATAGGCACAAATACATGAGCCAAAATGCACTGCCCAGTTTCACTGCTGACAATAGGGCCTATAGCAGGCCTGATTACCCTATGGCTGCCCAAATATTGTTGGCCTCCAGCTCCCATAAGCCCCAGGCAACAAGGCCAATGGTCACAGATGACAGGAATTATACTTCATCTGGAGGGCCTTGATTAGTCATCCTAGCCTACAGAGTTCCTTACAGCTGGAGCAGAAAGTGTTGGGTTAGTATGACAAAAACGAGGAGCTACACAGAGCAGGTGAGCTTTTTCTGCACTGTTTATAAGCTTTTCATCCACCTGCTTTCTCCTATCTCCCTTCTCCTGGATCCACATCATAACAGCAAGAGACTTCCTTAGTCCAAGGTAGAAAAATTGCTTTTTCCTACAATGCTTTCTGAGTGATGCATTCCAGTGAGGGGTAGGACTTCCAAGACCCCCAGCACTTATGTCCACTTCTAAAGAAAGTGTCCATTAGATTAGCTTTTAAAATATGTATTCAAAGAGAATACAGCAACCCATCATATATTTTGAAAAACTAAAATTAACATTTGAAATCATCAGATTTGAAATCACTGGATTGAAAGATTCCAAACAGGTGCTTTCCCTGATTAAAATAGATTTTGTTGTAACCGTCATACATGGATAGCCTTGCCATTTTGTTTAAAACCATACTGAACGCTGCAGCACAATGTTTTGATGCCATATGGAAACATCAAAATGCACAGCAGCTGCCAGCTCTTAAGCTGAATAGATGGAAACTTTTCATGTTGGCTTGAGAAGTTTCCCAGTGGATTAATCTATGAAGCATCAAATCACCGCACAGTACCAACTCATTGTACTATAGGGGGTCACATGAGACAGAAAATACTTTCTTTTTGACTGCGTGAAACTCACTCGTTGCCAATATTGTTACAAAACTCAGTATGCCATTTCTATATGCATGTTTCAGACACTATTCATGATGGACTTGAGTCAAACAATGCTGTGTGCAATAAATCCCCCACCCCCTCTTGTATGCCTAGTATATAACGTGTCTCAAGAACACTGGTTATGACTAATTTCTACGAAACATGAGCTGGTAAATAAATGAAACTTGTGTACTTTTTAACACTAATATCCCTTTTAACAAGCAAGGATATTTGCTGCACTATAATTATTTGAATCTGGTTATCATAATAATGATATATTAACAGCTAGAGAATCTTTAATTTCTTAAATTACGAAATATGTGGAACAGACAGCACTGGGCTGAAATCTAATCCATTTGTATAAACAGAAACCATTGCTTTTTTGTGTGGTGCGAAAACTTGTTACAATGGCTAATTATGGTTTGCAATTACTTTTTGAGCACTCTGTAATTTTGGTCTTAGATAAGGGTATAAAGGGAATTTTCTGCATATTCATATGCTGATGCTAGCTGCATTTCTTATAATATAACCTCAGCTATCTGTAACTTTCTTATCTAAATTTTCCCTGTGGGGAAGGGGGGGGGGATATTCAAAGGAGCCTCTCCCATACCCTTCCTTCCCCAACTGCTGCTCAATAGCCCTGCTGGCAGTCAGATCTTACTATCTAGTACAGTAGTTGCTGCCACCACCTCTTTTTTTAAAAAGTCACCTACAACCCTAGAAACGAGAGAAACAATGACTTTTAGAAGACATCTGAAGGCAGCCCTGTTTAGGGAAGTTTTTAATGTTTGATGTTTTATTGTGTTTTTAATATCCCGTTGGAAGCCGTCCAGAGTGGCTGGGGAGGCCCGGCCAGATGGGCGGGGTATAAGTAATTATTACTAGTAGTAGTACTACTAGTAGTAGTAATTGTTAAAGCCAAGAATCCTGGACCAGCACACACCACGACTCCAACCAATCCTTTGCAATTTGCACAGAGCATAAAGCCAGCTCTCCAGCCCTCTGTTTCTTCCTGAGAATAAGGCAAATTTCTGGTTTTACCACTCTGGCCTTCTGGAACCAAAGAGATCTACACATGTGAGGATTCCCAAAGCCTGAGGGGCAATCACACACAGACTCCACTAGCTCAACCGTGGAACTTTACTTGAAATAACAGGTGGGGAAAGCAGGCAACAGGTCAAACAGAATACAAAATAAATTGAGCACTGTGGCTCCACAACTAAACTACTCTTGGTAGGGCCAGCCCACCCATGAAATGGGTGGAAGCAGCTGTTTTGGGTAGAGGAATCCTGCTGGGTGGTGCCCCTGCTGCTGCACAACTCTGGTAAGCAAGACTTTGGTGGGGGAGCGGCAGGGGAGGCAGCACCTTCCCATTTCTCCTCAGGCAGCAAAATGGGATGGGCTGCCCCTGAATTCTGACCTGTCCACTTTTGTATACTAGATCTAGTCTGAATAGGCCATGAGGATAATCAACATCATGGTAGTTTGGAAGACATGGCCTAGATCCCTTGTAATGAGATGAAACAAAGCTGCAAGGGAACCTTGGCTTTTAAATGCTCTCTCTGCTGACAATGGTGGGTGTGCCCTCTGGCTCTTTCTAACCAATCAGAGCCAGAGCCAGCCAGTGAGTTAGCTTGGCTTAGAGAACTGGTGAGCCCAGGAAACCAGAGTCTGTGTCACTTCCCGCTACAAGGAGATAATACTTACGGCTGAAATCCTATATGTTATGGATTTAAAATGTTTCCTGGAGGGGGGAACCAAAGTTATTTTAACCACTTTATCTAAAGCCCAGGTGTGTTCTCACTTACAGGGCAGAGGAGTGCTGTAGCTGGGGGAGTTTGCATTTCCCCACTCCCTTTCTGTCTCATGCTTCTGGTTTACACCAGCCCACTAACTGCTATTTGCCCTTCAAGGCAAAATATACAGGTACACATACGTCTTCCTCCACAGAGCTAAAAGTGACAGGGATATTTCAACCATGAAAATGCTGTGTGCAGAAGGATTGGCTGTGTCCTGCTATGCATTCTGAAATAGTCGGAAGGCTTGAGAAAGTACAAATGTTATAGATATGTCTTATTTGACACTTGAAACTTCTGCAGAGGATGTCCGCTTGCACACTGCCAAGAGGAAATGCATCTTCCCCAAAAAGAGAGGGGACAAATTTGCATACATGGAAATTTAGAAATTACTATTGTTTAAATAGAAATACATAATACATCTCACCATGTTAGAGAAGACTGATCAGGTCTGCTATAAGTCCCCTGTTCTCCTTTCATTTACAAATTATATATAGTGGCTCTCTCACAGTAAATCTTCAAGCAGCTCTTGGACAGTATCTGTTGAGGATGCCCTAGCTCTGAATTTCCTTAAGTTGTACAGGGGATTGGACTAGGATAGCCTACTGTCCATACATAAAATGAATGAGGACTCGGAACGAAAGGTGCTCTTTAAAGTGCCGAGTTTGAAACTACAATGAATCCACAGGGAAAACTGCTGTAGTCACTCCATGACTTCTGAAGCGTATGTACCGTGCTGACATGGGCTGGGAAGTTATCATCTCAGTGTGGGTAGAGGGGTGGTGAGAAAGCAGTCCTGGCATGCTTGCCTGTAATCAGGACTATCATTCCTAGTGTCAGACTTATAGTAGGAGTAATCTGTCTTTCTGCCAGACGGTGCGTTTCTAATTAGTCAAGAAGATTTTTGCATTTTGCTTCTGAATTACATTCTTGAACACATGCTTGCTTTTTAGATTTCCAATATAATAATGCCAGCTTTGTGTCTTTTTAAAAACGTATTAGGCTTGCATCCTACCCCCAGCAATCGGGGTAGATGACTCATTTATACTTCAAATAAAACACTACAGAAGAGTGCTTCTCTATAAGTTAGCGGTTCTCATTAGGAATAAAGTATCATTGTTGCTCATTATTTAATGATCTATATGGTGGTCTACGGAACTAGTTTGTTCAATGCTGAATTATCCAGAGTAACGTTTTGTATGTTGTCCTGCTCAACCCTGTTAAATGAATCTTGTACTGTAAAGCAGCAACTGACTTCAGAGGAAAATTTGTTGTAGAAATAGAATGTATTCTGTCTTCGAACGCCTTTGATTTTCCTTCTACTTCAAACCACATTAACTTCACATTTTCCCCACCAGCACCATTGCTAGTAGAACATACTCAGTGTTTTCACTGCATTTTTGCCATTGAGTTTATGCTACTAAACAATGGGTAGCCAACTTGGCACCCTCCAGATGTTGGACTCCATCTCCCACCATCCTTGATCTTTGGACATGCTGTGTGGGGCTGATGAAAGTTAAGAGTCCAACAGCATCTGGATGGCCCAACATTGGCTATCCTTCTACAGTGGTACCTCGGGTTAAGTACTTAATTCGTTCTGGAGGTCCATACTTAACCTGAAACTGTTCTTAACCTGAAGCACCACTTTAGCTAATGGGGCCTCCTGCTGCAGCCGCGCCGCCGGAGCACCATTTCTGTTCTCATCCTGAAGCAAAGTTCTTAACCTGAAGCACTATTTCTGGGTTAGCGGAGTCTGTAACCTGAAGCGTACATAACCTGAAGCGTATGTAACCTGTGGTACCACTGTAGTAAGAATGTAACAGATTCTCATACAGGCCAAGTGTACATTAGATTTAGATCTTGTTCACCAGGATTTTGACAGCAAGGCAGATTATGTATTATTATTCTTTAGAAGGCCTATATCCCCACCAAACTTTGTATTGTGACTATTTTCCAATATATTAGTGATACAAAGTGGTTCTAGAAGCCAGCAGTATCAAGCAATCTCCTGTTGTCCAACTTGCCAACCTCTTCAATGATATTCATCAATACGGCATGCCAAATGCTGTTGTAACGCCGTGACGGTGTCACTCAACTGCTGGATGGTATGGGTCATGGTCTGGTTGTCCTGAGCCAAGGTCGCCAGCGCGGCCACCGGGTCGGCCATGGTTTCTGAATTACCCGAACACACCCCCAGGAAGGGGGAGTGCGGGTTGTGGTGGGAGCAAACTGTGCTAGGCCCGAGGGTTAATCCAAGCCACGCGGTCCAGGTTCGGTCACGAATCCAAGGATTCCATGAGGAGTCAGTCCAAGAGGGCCAAGGCAGGAAACCGGGCTAGGTCAGGCACAAGGTCTCAAGCAGGTTCCAGCAAGCAGCAATGTTGCTCCCGCAACCTGGGGCAGGGTCCGGCAGCCTTTTATCTCTGACGGGATAACGGCCGGTCCTGATCCCCCGGTGACTCACCTCCCTGTCTCGCCCGAAGGCGAGCACTTCTCCTGCGAGTACTCAGGTCTCTCCTTCTCTCAGACCTGAGTCTCTGCAGCTCGGGAGATGTCGGTGGGTTACTAGACCCAGAGGCTGCCTCAGCCTCTCCTGACACAACTGGTAGTGGAGCAGCTGTATGTGATTGCACAGCAGAGGGCAACGAGATAATCCTCACATCTGGAGCCGGGGCAGGCTCAGGCTCCTGACTCAGCCCTGCTGGTGCTTGTTGCAGGGGAACCTGTGCAGACTGGGGCTCTTCAGAATCAGGCCCCAGACTCAGTTCAGATGCCGCCTGAGGCAGAGGATCCGGTGCGGATTGAGACTCCTCCAGCTCTGAGTCTGAGCCCGAGTCCCAGGCCACCACACCTTTCTTGATTTCAAAGGTGGACAGATGGGGATGTTTTGAAGTGGCTTTCCTAAATGTCAGATAAAGCAACAGGTTGCTCCAGACTGTTAGTTGCACAGAGTTTAAATTAAAAACAATAGGACTTGTCATGACTAACCACCCCCAGTGATTGGAACTGAAGTATGGTCCAACACAATGTCTTTTCAAGGAAAAAATGTTAAAAGCTCGTGCTGTCAGTGCTGTTCTATATAGGATGGTTGGGGTGTGTGTACAACAAGCATTGAAATGTTCCTGACATGCCCTCCCCTTAGCCCATAGGGCAAGTAGAGTAAATGTTATGAAGAATATTGTTCTGAAAGGTAACTCACCAAACTGTTTAATTGGACTGCAGACAATCTATTGCTTTAGAATTCTGTGATGCATTCAGCTGGTCCTCCAGCAGCAAGGCTTAATAAAGCTTCAGTTTGTTCACAATACTGTTTAGAAACTGTTCTAGAATTGGCAGAGGCGCCCTTCATCCTCTGCCCTGGAAGCTCTTAATGCTTATCCCAGAATTGAGGACAGTTCTGTTTAGTGAATGTTAAAAGAAAAGCAGTTCGTTGTTGCACAAAGGCACTTTCTTCTTACATTGTTTTCCTTCACTTGTTCCTTTCCAAGATCCATCCCTAAAATGTCCTAAGTTACTGTTTTCTTTCTGGAGCCACTTAATATGTGTTCTTCTTTCAGTAATATATGAATTATACATTGTGAAGGAATCCTCCATTTCATAGAATCATAGAATTGTAGAGTTGGAATTGTGTTGAACCAAAGGTTTAGAATTGTAGAGTTGGAATTGTGTTGAACCAAAGGTGAACTGTTCCAGAAGCTCTGCAACACCATCATGGTAGTCAAGATAACCCCACAATTAATTGGCAGTTGTTGTAACAATGACCTCATATATGTTTATATTCACTTGCTTTAAGCTAATTGGACTGTTTTGATGTTATCTGTGGGACTGGAGTGCTGGGCTCTGAGCCCAGAAAGGGGAACTATCTTTATTTGCCACCTATGCCCTCATGACGTGATATGAAGTCCTGGGCAAAGTGACTTTTGTGTATAAAGAATGTATGAATGTTTGCTTAGCTGGCGACAAGCCATCTATTTGCTGCAGTTCCTGTCCCGTGCCTGTAAAGCCTGGGAGACCTGGTTGGCTGATTTGCTGTAAGTTTACACCTTTCTTTTAATACAACACTAGAATTTATCACTCCTTTGATATCCCTGCATCCACTCACACAGGTTCTCCTTTGGCCCTGTGGTTCAGAACAGGAAGGGACCCTGAGGGTCATCTAGTCCAACTCCCTGCAACACAGGAATCTCAACTAGATCAAATTCAACTTAAAGCTAAAGAACCACACGTAGGGAGGGCAAGATTGTCCTTCAACAGTTTGTACTTGTACAGCATATCTGGTCACTGTCCTCCCCACTATGGTGTGATGTATTTTATTTCTGTTACAATAGTCTTCTGGCATTTTAAAAGACTAGCACTTTTATTATGGCACAAGCTTTTATGGATGATGTTCTGTCTCTACTGCCAGATGCCAGAGACAGTATGCCTTGGTGAATCACAAATGAGGAGTGCAGTGTTGAACCCAGGTCCTGCTTGCAGACTTCTCATAGGCATTTAGTTGGCCAGTGAGAAGAGGATGCTGGATTAGATGGGCCTTTTGGGCCAGTGCAGCAGGGCTTTTCTTATGTTCTTATATCTTAAGAATGCTAAATGTTCTATTTGAACTATTGATAACAGGGGCTATATAAAGTAACTGGAGGACTAGTTACATAGTGGAGGTCATCCTGATAAGGTGGGTGGAGGGAAGTACTCTTAATTGAAAGTCTCGATGTTCACTGTGCAGAAGCATATTCCATCCATGGGCATATTGACTACATATGTAGTTACTTACATATGTTGCTTGTCCCCGTCACAACTACCAACAATCAGCCACCAGTGGTGAACCATGTAGATCAGGTACAAGGTGGAGAAACAACATGGGTAAACTTTATGGCAGAGGTGGGGAGCCTGTGGCCCTCCAGATGTTGTTAACGCTACAACTCCCATTGGCCTTATGGGTAAAAAACAGGAAAAGTCAGCATGAGGTTGCTGTCTAATTCCAACCTTTGTCAACTTTCTGCTCAACGCTAATGTGCCTGATGAAATCTGTATCTGATACCAAATGTTGTAGTGCCATTCATTTTTGAAATCATGGAATAAATATCATGCTTCACTCCATGGCCAGGATGTGGAGTTCCAAGCTTACAATGGGCATTTTCCCAATCTCCTCTCACACTACAGGCACTTGCACCCCTGTGAAGCTGCTCCTGGAATATTACACAAATGGCTGTTATTGGAAATACTGGTTAATAGTCATTCTTCCCCTTCTGCTCACTGTCCTGTCCAAGAAAATAAGTGCTTACAACTCACACAGAACTTTCTGGCTCCTGGACCAACACAAGCTAATATATGAAATTACTAGTAAAAAGCGACTAGAGGTCACTGTAATAAATGGGAAGTTGCTTCACTGGCTTGAAGCCTGCTGAAAAAGCATTTATATATGCGGAAGCACAGAAGGTACAACAGTCATTTTGCCAGATTTCTGTATGCTAAAGACTTTGAGTAATATGATTGCAATTGTTTTGCTAATTTTGTTTGCTAAGTATGCACACTCAAAAGCTTTGATGTTTATTTTTTCATAGTCCATCCTTCACCCTACGGGCTCAGGGCAGAGATTATGTCTATAATAAAATTACAGAAAATGCTGTAAAATTCGCAATGAAAAGACAATCAGAAATGGAAAACTATTATGCCAGCTGGGGAAAAGCTGTATCATTGTGTCTAAATTCTAAGGAAGGACAAGTTGTATTTTCCATACGGTAATGATTGCATAGTAAGGTGACTGAGTTTACCCTGAGTGGGCTAGAAAGTGCCAGATTTATGTATAGGCTAAGTAGGCTGAAGCCTAGGGCCTCTAAATCCAGGGGGCCTCCCCAGCCCGCCCACCCCCCAGCGGGCAGCCTCCCCTCTCCCCAAATTGCAAACCCAAGACTTCATGCAAGGGCAGGGCAACTCGGGCCCAGCAACTATGAGACTCAGGGCCAGCCAGTGGGGCCCAATTTTAAACTCGAGGGCCCAACTTGAAATTTTTTTGTGGGGCCCTAGTTCACAGCCAAAGTCTGTAAAATCTTAGAGATATAAATCCCTGTGCCAAGTCATTTTCACAAGGTCAGCAAAGCCATTCAGAAATCAGTCCTATTATTGAGTTATTGTGCAAGTTTGTACAGTTCACTTCTGGATTTTTTAAAGGAAAATTGGAGAAGATTTTGATGAGCTTGAGAAACAAAGCAAAAGCAACCTTGCCAAATGTTAACCACAAAACAAGGAGACAAAGAGTGAGGGAACAACAAAGAAATGACAGAAGTGCACCTGATGCCTTAGATGCACTTTCTTTAAGAGATAAGTTTAGGATAAAATCATTTATTCCTATATTGGATGCACTTGAAGCCAGTTTAAAAAGTACTGTGTACAGTGATATTCCACAATTATTTTCCATTCTTGCTATCCTGATAGCATCCAAACAAGAAATTCAGCAAGGTGTTGAACTGTTGATGGAAGCATACCCAGAAGCTATTCCTAATGTAGAAGCAATTTTGTGGCTATTTCTTAGCTTTATGGTCACTAACAGCTCGGGAGAGAGTAGTTTTTCAAGATTCAAAAGAATTAAAAATGAATTAAGGGCCATAATGTCTCAAGAGAGGTTGTCCGCATTCTGTACATTGAAAGTGACAAACTTAGACAAACAAATTCTTGTTGGGTCTCTGGACCGTAATAAAGATTGATTGATTGATTGACAAACAAATTTTGATGAAGTTTTCTGATGTCCTTTAGAGGAGAAACTGTGAATTGCAGAATTTTAAATACCCGTCATCATCCTTGGCTTCATTCAAGTGATCTTTTTCAAGAAATCGGCAGACTGTGGCAGAAGTTAAAGTCTTTTCTGTTAAACACTGCCATCTAGTGGTGAAAGATAAAACTACCCTTTTAAAACGGCAATATTCTACCATTTCCTCTGGTTAAGAACATACAGAGTTTAGTAAATGTTTATGCATTTTTGTCTTCTGAATTTATTTAAATATTTATGTATTTAATATAAATTTATTATTCAATATTTTATTTAAAAATCAGAACTTTAAAAAAATAGCACTTCAAACATTTCTTTAAAATTCCATCTTCCCCTAGCTCCTCTTGCTATATTGTGCTGCCTTAAATCTTATTCCTGAAACTCTTTCCCAGCAAACTCCTTTGGTCTTAAAAACGCTTCAAATTATGTAAATTCCAACTGCTGATACACCTTTGAAAAACTACTTCTAGTTTATCCTACATTCCACAATTCTTTTCCACATTTCCATAAATGTCTAACCCTCTTTAGGCTGCAATCCTATACCCTCTTACCTGGTAGGAAGTCCCATTAAACGATTAGACTGCGTAGAATTGCACTGTTGGTAACCGAACTCTGAAGAACTTCTCTTTGATATCCTGTTGACTATCTCCTCCGTCTTTCTAAAACTCCAGAATAAAATATTTTTGTAAGTTTCCTCAAATTATTAGCAACTTAACTTAGCAAAACAAAATTTCCTGCTTGATCATTTTTCATGTTGCAACTGTACTCCTTTTGCTATGAAATACTGACCATCCTCTAGTCTCACACTCCAAATTTATGCTCTGCTTTTATTACCTTTTTTATGTTAACTATTGCCCCTTTCCTTAGTTCAGAAAGGGCAGAGGTTTGCTGGTAGTACAGAAGACGGTTCAGAGGTAGCACAAGCAAACTCTACTGAAGACAGGGAGAGGGAAATTATTTCCAGAAACAGAATAAAGTAATAAAGTAGAATAAAGTAGCTAGCCAAACTGCTAAGGAAGGTGTGTCTTTTCAAATCATGTTTGAAATGATTTGAAGGCTTAGTGTCTTAGAAGGCTTTGTGTCTTTGGGCACAGGGAACATAAAATTGTATTATCTTGAGAAACAGTTTCTGCAAAGATGCACATTGGCACATAGAACCAGCCAGGTCACTATGGAATAAAGTTAGCCCAAAGGAGTTGTGTGACAGAAATTTATTTATTTTATTAAATTTGTATCTCACCCTTCCTTCCAAAAGAACCCAGGAATATAAAAGCAATAGCAAAACTTGGTATTAGGAGATATTTGTTTCCTTTTAGCTTAAATATATTCTGTAGGTTTTGCTTTTTGAAAGAAAGAGGAAGTGACACATGATAAACCTTTCACAGCAGGGGAAGCCTGTATGGTTCCTGGTTGTTAAGAGCTGTAGTCCAACAACATCAGCAGGTCACCACATTAGGTACCTCATTAGTTACCTCTGCTTTGTACTTTATGAAACTATGATATTGCCCCTAGGTTACTAATAGTTAACCTAGATGTACTTACCTAGGTTTTCTAGAAAGACAAGTGTCTATAAATCTAGTAAACAGAATTAAAATAACTGCAAAGGTACATTTAAACATACTTTATCTGTCTATCTGGCCTCAGAAAATCCTTTGAGCCATCAGATCTGTGTTTAACACTGTACAGAAGTATCCACAATCAGTTCAGGGTTTTCATCTTTGGCCAGATATTCTATTCACAATGACATAAGCTGAAAATGAAATACATCATACTAGGCAAGAACATTGCAATATACCTTAGATGGAAGTAAAGACATGGCAATGTTGTAAGTCTGCATCTTTTATTACAGAATCTACAAAAAGAAAAAGGAAATCTAGGATTAACATTTGAAAAGGTATTTTGTTGGTCCACCTTCATGCAAGATAATCTTCACATACAATCCTCATTCTTTGAAACTCCAGTGATTAAATTCATCTTTTTTTTAGAGTTGAATTCATATTTATGTCTTAGCTTCAATTACCATTTTAATAAATTATTATCAGCTTCCTGAAAATCCTTGCTATTTTTAAATTTTATTTCTTAGACCTTATTTTATACAGCCTCTGTAGCACAACTTGTACAGCACTGACTCGAATAAAAGTTGTAAGCAGTCAAAAATTTGGGCCAACATCAAATGTTACACTAAGAACTAAGCAACTGCCACCAACATGAGCTGCTACTACTGTATGTAGTTAGTAACTTGCAATGCTATTTTTCTGGAAATAGAGTTGCCAGAACTCACCATGAACACTTCCCTTGTTCTCTTAAATGGTAATGGCACCCTCCTGAGACGTGCCAGAACCCACCCAAAAGGTGCCAGAACTGAGTTCCTCCTGAAAAAGAGCCCTGATAATTTGACATTTCTACATATACCTTGTCAAGAAAGCAGCTAAGTTAAGACATTACATTCCCCCCCCTTTCTTTTCCTCCTTTCCTCCCACTCCAAATTAGTAACTCAGCAATTTATACTGCAAACTCCTTGTGCTAGAATTTGAAGAAGTATAAGAAGCTGTGCACACCAAGACTACAGTGCTGTAAATAATAGCTTTCTCTCTCAGCTAAATGTTATCCTCCTAGCACGGCAATTTTTAAGCATTTTGCAATTTGCTGCTTCTTAGAGGATCACACATTTTTCTAATGCTTCAACTGTCACATTGGAGACTGTTTGAGAAGTTTCCAAATTACCCCAGCTTTGGAATTCAACCGTGCAGAAGGTATGAAAGACAAAAAACCAGCTAGCTAGTGGATGGGCTCTGCTTGGTTTGTGGATGCTCTTTATGCTGCAAATATTTGTTAGTCTGGACACAACTGTTCTGGGTTTATTCAGCCTCCCAAACCTAAAATGTCCAATTGACAAAATAGGGTAGATTGTGGGTCAACAAGTCACTCTCCCAAGCTGGGTTCTAAACAGTGAGGCACACAAGCCTCTAGCTTCATACCAAGTGGGCTGCAATAGTATTTTGACATGGAACCCATGGGTCACCCCCCCACCAGCCAGTTAAGCTAATCAAGGTGCCAGGCTTTTGAAAGGAGGTGCAAGGCTCTGGCAGGGTCTTAAGAGCTCTCTAACCTCCTTCACAAAGCTGGAAAAGTGCTCAATACGCCTTAGGAAGAAGGAGGGACTCTAGGACCCTGGCAAGAGCCCTTATGCCTCCTGCCCATAGCCTAGCCTAGCACCTCATTTACCCAGCTTTGGGAAGGCAGTGCAAGGACTGCCTCCAAAATTCTGTATCAGTGTATGTAGAGGAGCAGAATTTAAAATAGTAATCAAATTTCTGAAATGGGCAGGTTAGCTCATTTATATATTTCATAACTTAGATTCAACTGCACTTCAATTTGGTTTACATTCATGCCAAAGCAAAACTGATAAAATGTAACTGTTCTAATCGAGATGTGTATCTGGAAATGCTGATGTGGCACCTGTGGGCACACATGCTTTCCCTGGTGCCTCACTTGCTGAAAACCCAAATTCTACTGGAGTTATCAGTACCGGTTTTAGTGCTTGGTTGCAGTGTTTGTGTGATGCCCAAAAGAGTTTCTCCAGTTTGTTAAGTATGGCCCCAAAAGATAGGCAACAGCTCATACTCTTTCAGTGAAGGGTAGGCTAAGAAGAAACCCAAGACAGGCTATCTCCCTACTGCATCTGAAACGCTCCAGAAAAGTCTCTACAAACTGGGTGAACAGATGATAAAATGGCAAATCAGGTTCAATGCAGGTAAGAGCAAAATGACACGTACTGGCCAAATCTATACACTAATGGCATCTGAATTCACTGCAGATTCATGGAAAATGGACAAATTCATGTAGATAAACTCATGGCTACTAGCCATAGTGGTTTTATACTACCTCCATGGTTAGAGGCAATGTGTCTCTGAATATGAGTTGTTAAACACACCAAGTGGGGAGACTGCTGAAGTACTCGTATTCTGCTTGTAGGGATACCCTTTGGCATCTGGGAACAAGATGCTGGATAGATGTCTTATGAGGAATGGTTGAATGAATTGGGTATGTTTAGCTTGAAAAGAAGAGACCGAGAGGAGATAGGATAGCCATCTTCAAATATCTTAAACACTGTTGCATGGAGCGAGCTTGTTTTCTCCTGCTCCAGAGCCTAGGACCCAAACCAATGGGTTCAAGTTAACAAGAAAAGTGTCTGACTAAACATCAGGATGAACTTTCTGACAGGAACAATGGAACTGACTCCCATGAGAGGTGATGGACTCTCCTTCCTTGGAGGTTTTCAAGCAGAGTTTGGATGTCTATTGCATATATGATCTAGTTGTGATTCCTGCATTGCTGGGGGTTGGAGTAGATGACCCTCAGAATCCCTTCCAACTCTACAATACTGATTTCATGATCCATCCAACAAAGGAAGCATGCTTTTTTCTTATTCAATAATTTCCCCATATGCAAATTTAATCAAAACTCATAGGGCAGATCTACAAGGGTTGGTTTACTTGAACATCAGCCAGGGGGTGGGGATGGGGGGAGAGATGACAAAAGCAGGACATAACAAAGGTTTAAAAAACTGTGGATAGTGTAGAGAAAATTATTTTTTCAAGGGGTTTTTTTTAAAAAAAAATAATTTCTCGGTTGAAGGTTCAAGATATGTGAATGAAAATATTTCTCCATCCAAACGTTAATTGGCTACTACACCATTTGGTGAAGGCCAATAGCCAGGAAATGTTTTAAGCAGCAGCAGAAAAATACATGGCAGAACATCCACTTTCGAAGGCAGCACCTGTCAAGAGTGCTAAATCCAGACAAACAGGGTTAGGCTAAGGTTACCAGATTTTTTTCAATGAATCCAGGGTCACTTTTCAACTTCCTACTAAATAGATGGATTTTGTCAGGGGACTGATTTGTAAATCCGGGGACTGTCCCCGGGAAAATCTGGTAACCTTAGGTTAGGCAAGTGGTAGAACACAGAATTTACATGCAAAAGGAAATGCTGTTGACTTCCATGCGGGCTTTGGAAGCAAAACTGAATTTCCACTCGGCGTCTGCCAGGGAGCCTGCGGAACTCACATCCCCTGCCTTCTCCCTCTTAACCTCAAGTGTAGATGGCCTACCACGAGGGTCGGTCCACGTGCCAGTGGCGTAGCGTGGGGGGTGCAGGGGGGCCGGCTGCACCGGGTGCAACATCTGGGGGGGGCGTGCTCGCACTCGCAGCTCTCTGCCCCTGCCCCCTGCTAAAATCCACGGGTTAGGGGGCGCAAATTACTTGCCTTGCCCCGGGTGCTGACAACCCACGCTACGCCACTGCCACGTGCTAACAACTTTTCCACGAAAAAACGTAACGAGCTGGCCCTTAAAAAACAATTCTGTGATGTTAAAGAGGTGGGAAACTCCGTTCTAGATCATGTGTGAAGAACAAGCGTGTAGCGAGGTGCGTGTGTGTAATGCTCAGATACGGGGTGGAGGGGGGAATATTTGCCACGACTTACTCCGGCGGAGATAGGCAGGCACTACTATTAGCCGGGAAGAGAAACGAAATGGACCCACTGCGACGGAAAAGGTGGGGAAAAAACCGACTCCTGAATGTAGGAATTTCCATCCAATATTGGCGCGTCCTCATCCGCCAGTCATGAAGCGGAGCCGATTTCAAGACATTTCTTTTTCGCTTCGCCCTACGCGGCAAGCTCGGCTCTAGGTTTCCTCAGCAGCGGCTGCCGTTCCCGCCTTTCCCAGCCGGCCTGAGGCGGCGCCGCTGCCCTACAACATCTCCTCGCCGAGTAGGCCTCCCCTCCACGCGCATGCGCCGTAGCGCCAGGAAGCAAAAGGCAGGCCTTTCTTTACCACCCCTCGCCTCTTGCCCTTCGCTGCCTCCGACACGACGACGCGGCCGCCGCCATGCCGAAGCTGAGCAAAGAGTCCAAGCAGCGCCTGCAGCACTTGTTCAAGGGCGGGCAGTTTGCCATCCGGTGGGGCTTCATCCCGGTAGTACTCTACCTAGGTCAGTTCTGAGCTGGGGACAGCGAGTAGGTTGCCGCGGGCAGCTTGGTCACGGAAGACTCGGTATACTCTGACTTGAGGCAGGCGGCGGGGGCGGGGCGGGGCAGCTTCCCGAACCGTTAACGGTCCGTTAACGGTCTTCCCGTCAACGGCTGGTTCGAGCGCGCGTGGCGCGTCTTCTTGGAACGCGGCGGCGATAGTGACGCAACCGAGAGGAACTCGCGCGGTGGGGCGAGTCACGTGGCCGATTCCCCTCAGCTCCTCGTGATTAGCGGGGAGAGCGCCCTGTGGGGCAGAAGCGGCTCCTTGCACTTACCCGCTTCCGTTCCCTGAACCCAAATTCTCCGCTTCACAGCTCACTTTAGCGCTGGTAGTTTCGGATTTAACCTAGAGAAAAGGCAGGCAGGCTGCATCGTGAAAGCCCTCCTGTTTTTTCTTCCCTTTCCTAGTACTCGTTGGAAGGCGAGCTTGTGTGAATATGGTGATAGAAGGATCTCCTGTGACCTTCAGTGTTTTCCAAACTCGGTCTCCAGCTGTTTTCGGACTAGAATTCCCATCACCCCTGACCTTACTGGTCTTGCCCGCTAGGGATGATGGGAGTTGTAGTCCCAAAAACAGCTGGAGACCCGAGTTTGGGAAACACTGCTTCAGACTGTCTGTGGGCGACACAACTGTTGGATGCTCTTGTGCGCTGAAAGTTATATCACCTTGCAAGAAGAAATTATTATATCCAGCAGTAAGCTGGGCTACATTTGTCTCTCTGGTGTGCTAGCTTTCTGCTTGAGTGAGCTGAATGGAGGAATGGGTGAATAATCACCGACAATCTCCCCACCCCAGTTTGCAAGACAGACTGAAGTTGCTTATAAATAGTTTTAGTTTTCAGAATTCTGTATTTCACGATTATGTGAACTCCTAAATGTGTTTAAGCATGACACAAAGGTAAACATGGTTAAAATTGCTCACAGGTGTGTTATTTCTTTTGTGGTATCAGGAGTTTGCTTAGAAGTCAGCAGATTTCTGAAAACTAGAGGCCAATTTTTAGAATGTTCTTAGAATTGCCCAGGCCAAGCTCAATTAGTTCAGCAATGATTCTGTTCTATGAAGTGTCATTGACAACTTCTTTTTCATTTGCTGGGAAATAAATTATTCCGTTATCCATGGGCCTGCTGTGCAGGACATTTCTTACTGAATTCCATTAACAATGCAGTAAAGTCCTATTTATTAGTAAGATCAGAGACTGTCTTTCTCTGTCTGGTGGATTTGGTGGGCAACATACATCATGCCACAAAATAAGGACTGTTTTAGATGTCAGAGATACTTTTAGAAGAGTATTCTTTCTTTAGAAGAGTATTCTTTCTTCCCAGGCAGATTATCAGTGCAATTCTAACTTGGAATCTATCTAAATCCTAATACATTTAATGGTGCTTACACTCAGGTAAGTATGGGGTTAGGCTTGCAGCCCAAGTCACCTGCTGGTGCAGAGGAGTGGGGTTTTCAATGTGTGTTGCTGAGCACGCAATAGAATGGACCCCTTTCTTTGCACTTCTACTTTATGGCATGTTGGGGTGGGGAGTGCAGGAGACTGTATCAAAGTGCAATGCTATCTATTACATTACTGTGGCTAGTCATGTGTGCATTAATTCTAGAAATATTTATTATATGTAAAAGCAATAATATATTCATGATATAAACTGACAGATACATTGTTTGTAACTAGGATTTAAGAGAGGTGCAGATCCTGGAATGCCTGAGCCAACCGTTCTGAGGTATGTTTTCACTAGTTAATACCTCAGCAGAAATAATGCCTGCTAAAGGAGAAAATAGAACATGTGCTTTGTGATTAACTTGGAGGGGAGAGTTTGAAACTTATGCTACAATCCTACACTCACTTACCTAAGGGTAAGTCCCATTCCATTTATACATCTCTTACACGTGCACTTACAGAAATATCACACAAATTATATTTTAACTGTTGCTATATTCTCATGTAAGGTGTAGGTCAGGATTTGGTGCTACCATTTTTTAATTTAAGGGACACACCATAAGAAGGAAATGTTCTATCTTTTGGTTGCTGACTTAAGTATATCATCAAGAGATATGACCTGATTGTGTCAAGTCCTCTTTCTCTTGGAATGAGCTTGCTTCAGTAACATTACAAACCAAGAACTGGTAACCATCGAATGATTTAAACACCGACAGCTTACCCTGCTTGAAACTGAATTTTTAAAAGGGCAGTGTATGTTGTTTGTTGTTTGATCAATGTACAAGGCATAGGCCTTCTGTTTCATTTTGTTGTTGCCTGATGGCACTAATAAGGCCTCGTGGAAAATATGAGTGGTTACATGTTAAGAGTTGGAATGAGGTGGAGAGTAGGAGCCTAATAAAACTAGACTAATAAAGCCTAATAAAAAGCCTAATAAAGCCTAATAAAACTAATCCACTCTGAAGCCTAACAGTTTGTTTTCCAAACAGACTGTTAGGCTTCAGAGTGGATTAGTGGGAGAAACTTTTTTTTTTTTTTTTTTTTGCTGTTGCTGAGGCATGAATAAGTATAAAGTTTATGAATGACTACTAATGTTACTCCTACTGAGAGTAAGTCAATTTAAATCAGTGGGCTTAAGTCAATTGATTTCAGTTGGTCTGTTTTGAGAATGATTTAGTTGTATATGACCAGTCAGAATCTACCTTCCAGGTATTGGTGGACTCCCACCATTCCTGGGGCTGATATGAGTTAAAGTCCAACAACATCTGAAAGGTGACAGGTCCCCACCTGTGTCCTATGTGATCTCAGAGGTGGTTTAAAATTTGCTGGTTTTTTTGTTTTGTTTTTTAAATTCAAAACAAACCAGATTGGCAGAAGGACTTTCCTTTCTTATAAAATTCTGGAAGTAATAGAAAAAACCATTGAAGCTTTTCATTAATTTCTCCTTGCATTTATGGCGCTTCTGCATGGTGACACTTTATTGTATGGATGCTACTGAGAATTGGCATTAATGTAACATTTTATCATTTAATATTCTACACTCTGCTGTCTGACTGCTGTTTAGACTCCTGTAATTAAACTGTCATGTAAAATCCCATTGTCTGTTTAAAAAATCTGCAGGTGATCAATTTATTCAATTTTATGTCTTGTCATTTTCCTGTGTTTTTGCATTTATGAGATTTAAAAGATAAGATGCATCCTCTTCTTAATACAAGACTTTCTTGTATTATCCAGTATGTTTAGGATATACAATTAAATGAGACTTGTTCTGTTAAGTGAAGTGCATGATGCCCAAATTGGCTTTGTTGGATTGTATGCAGCATACATACAGACACCCCCAATACACATGTACTCGCCAAGCATCCAGCACACTAACCACACTTGCACTTACATAATGTGCACATGCGAACACCCCTCCCCACACTCACTGCATATACAGCATATCCGCCCCACTCATACAGCACATACATTCACCAGGCACAGATACACACAACTGGTGTGTTTCCAGCATTCCCCACTCAAGTGCCTTAGAGCTTCTTCCGACACTTTGGGATCGCCGTTTTTGGTGACTGGGACCAAAGTGCTATTAATTTCTGCACTAAAACATGGGGTTTCCATTACTGTGGCCTGAGCCAACATGTGGTATTAAATCATTCATTCATTCATTCATTTAGATGTGTCACACATATTTGAAATGGTCAACACATTTAAGAAGTCTTTGTAGTAGTAATGAAATGGGTTGGGAAGGGAAGGGAAGAATGTGCTCCCCTTTAACTATTTTATATTTTTGTCAGTCCTTGGAATCTTGAAGACCAATGGATGGGCAGAGAGAAAAAATGGATGTGATCATAGTGTTTACTATTTTGGGGGATAGTTTAGTAGCATAATTGGGGTGGACACTGACAGTGAACTCTTATGTTTACTCAAAAACTGGGACTTAATGGGACTTAGTCCTAGGTAAAATGGCAGCCTAAATACACAATATCATAAATTTGCTCGGGATTAAAATGAGTGTAAATGAGATGAAGCATTGAGAAGATGCCACCAATTTCTTGTTTGTGGCTTGAACCATATTATTTAGTACCTAAATAATCTTGCTGACTTTTAAAAGCAAAAACTGTCTTTCTAGCTATTATTTGGCCTTTCCAACCAGTCAACTGAGCTGACTATCATAACTTCAGTCGCTTATTATGTTACATGTTTCATCTTTGATTTCACCCTGGTATGAGTGATAATAGATAGAATAATATCTAGAATTTTATTTCTAGAGTCCCTGATGGATTGCCAGGTTCCCTTGAAAATAATGGTTGGGATTGTGAGCATTTTTGGAGAGCAGTGTAATATGGATAAGCCTTAATATTACTTGTCTGTGTCAATATAGGTTACTTTCAAGATCAGTCATAATATTACAATTTCTTTAAGCCACCTCAGAATTGCACTGAAAGAATGTGACAGTATACTAAGAAAGCAAGAAAGAAAGAAAGAAAGAAAGAAAGAAAGAAAGAAAGAAAGAAAGAGAGAGCGAAACTAGAAGGCAGATAAAATACCCCCAAATGTATTCTACAATCACATGAGTGTTAATTCCATCTTATATGGTTGGGTGCATTTAGCACTTTAAATATGATGGTGTTCCTAATGGCCACATCAGTATCTGTTATGTATTGATGATTGAATTCAAACCTTAATCCAAGCCTAAACCCCACCTCTGTCACTGTTGGGTAGCCTAGGCTGACTATCCCTCAGCTGCAGGTGATTATCAGAGCGGAACTGAATAAAGTATCCCTAGTCTCTTCTAATGATTCTACATTTGCTCTGTTCTGTTAATTAATATGGCTTACTTGCATCTGCACTGGCTGACCTTCCGCGGTTGAATACGTTATTGAATGTGTAAAGCTGCAGCTCTGTACTCAGTTACATAATAATTACAACAATGAAATCAACAGAACTTGCTTCTCATTAGACATGTATAGAACTGTGCTGTAAGTGACAAAGTTGTACTTTTTAGTATTTCTTGAAAGAGCTGTTCTGCTGGTAACAGCATCATGAGACTTGTGATCAACTTAGTTTTTCCCCCTTTTTCTTCCTCCACCTCTCTTAGCCTACTATGGGGATGAAGGAGTTAACCACAGCATTCTGGAAGCCGGCTGCTGAGCAGGAAAAAAAGATGGAGATGCATACATTCCAAAGGCTGGGAAAAACAGCACTGAGCTATGCCACTGGCAAGCAGACTTCCCTGACAACATGGAATATGCTTACAACATAATGGAATTTCCATCTGTCTAATTTATTTGTGTTACACTTTCATTTTTTCCCTTTAGAATAAATATTTTGTCTGAAATTCTTTAATGAGGAAATCTAATTTTTGCAGGTCATGACACATGTTAAGACTCATTTCCCTTTACATCCAACTGCTGGATTTCATAGAATTGTTGGAAGGGACCCTAAGGGCCATCTAGTTCAACCCCCCTGCAGAGCAAGAATCACAGCCAAAAAATCCCAGTCAGATGGCCATCCAACTTCTGTTTTAAAAAATCCCATGAGGGAGAGTCTACTATCTTCCAAGGTACTTTGTTCCACTGTCTTAACATCTCCTACAGTCAGAAAGTTCTTCCTAGTATTTAGTCAGAATCTCATTTCTTGTAATTTGAATGCATTGGGTTGAGTCCTATCCTCTGGAGCAGGAGAAACAAGCTTGCTCCATCTTAAGTGTGACATCTCTCCAGTTTTACTGTGTTCAGGCTAAACATAGCCTTATTATTTCAACCTCATCTTTGTAGTCATCAGACACTGGGTTGTTCGTACATGGGTTATCTTTGGTGACACTACAGAGGAAAAATGCTGCATATGCATCAATAAGCATTATCTTCAATAATGCCCTCCTTTCCACATACCTACAATAATAGTACAGACAGTTTAATCTTGACAAACCTTAGGCATGTCTGGGAGCCAGAGACTGCAGTTATGAAGCTACAGAAACATAGAATGTACTGTTATTTTTTATTTTTTTTTACAAACCTAGCTTTCCTGGCAAGAGTGGGGTGGTGATATATCTGTTTGTTAGTTGTGGCTTGGAGAAAACACCGTACTTCCAAAAGAGTTCTGGCTACTTGTGAGGAAGTCATTCCTAAGTGGTAAGGAATGTACCAACCAATAAGCCACTGTTTAGTTTTCCATTAGAATGTGTTTGACGTAGTATAGGGGGCACTCCTGTGTGTTTGTCCTTTGCACGCACAGAGAAAGAAGATCAATAATTGCTTTACCAGTGTCCCAACATTTCAAAAGCTCACTGGGTCAGCCCTTCAGTCTACATCAGTGGCTAAGCAAAAGCTTGGAAGGTCAGGAAGATTTGATCAGACCCCTGTTAGTCTTGGCAGTGGCAGAAAAAGAAGTATACAGTGTTGATGTGAGTGAAGCCCAGTGCCCTAATGGGGGATGCAGAGCACTGCTCTCCAATCAGTGTACTGACAATTTGTTGAACAGAGATGGGGCTCAAAAAAACCACCCTGCCTTCCCCCAAAGAATAAAGGGGGTAACTAGCTGAGGAACCAGTTGTCAGAATCTGCTAAGATTTTGATAAGGTCTGAATATGTACATGCCTATACCTATCCACCACTTTGGTTGTAACCTTTGGCTGCTGACTTGCCAACAGGCAAGATTCCCTTAGGTCTAGTGTTCCCAGCATAGTGTCTTCAGACACACCCCTTAGCACTCAACAAGGCCCTCTGCTCCTGGTTTCAGTTTGGGATGGGGGTGGTGGGAGTGCCTTTTTGAGGTGGGGTGTTTCCTGTCTTTTTGTTCTCTGTTTTATTTTTGGAGGGATGTAGGTGATTTGCGAGTTGTTTGTGAGAGGATCTAAGCATAAACCGTTTGGGATATTTCTTTAGGCCCCACATGACTGCTTCCTAAATTTCCAAGTGTGACCCCAGGCCTAAAAAGGTTAGGGACCTTACTACGTCCGGACTCATACTTGACATCCAATAAAGATTGATATGTCAGTACATTTAACTCCATGATACATGTTCTTTCAGTTCCCAGAAAAGTCCAGGATGCAGAAGTTAAGAGTTGGTGTACATAGCCAGATGGCAGTTCTGAGCGAGTCAGACTATTTATTTCCTTCTTGCTATGCCTGAAGAGTGCCCAGTAAAGCAGAAAGATGGCGAGAGGAAGCTGCGTCAACTTTGTAGTGCAGTTAAGAGAATGAATTATGAAATATTTGGTCCAAGTACTCAGCTGTGGATTTGCTGAGTGGCTTTGGACAAGTAGCTATTTCTTGGCTTCATCTGCCCACCTATAGGTTGGGTATTGTAATACAGCATTGCCTATCAGGCCTTTCCCAAGGATTACTGTGATAATGCATTTGGATTTAAGTATTTAGAAAAAGTACTACATCAAGAGATCTAATGAGGAAGCAGGACAAAGATGAAAGACTTATTTGGTTCAGTGGTACTTACTCCCAAAAGTGTACAGAGAACTTCAGTCTTAAGTATTATTAATTCACTCGTAACTGCTAATGTCTGTTAGGTAGGCTTATTACTTATATAACAGAAATATCAATTATCCAAGTGCATACAGGCACTTCTTTCCAACATGCAGCAGCCACCCAAACAAAACCCACTGCTGTCTTTTAAGAATATCATCTTCCCCCTTTGGGAAAAGAAAATCAGTCTTCCATCATGCCTTTATTGTGGCTATCAGAAAAGGAAACATCAGCCAGGCTCCCTTCCATTGTTCCTGCATTCAGCTTCTGAGAGCCTGTTACCACCCTCCATCTGCCATTGTGCAGACTACCAAAGGGATGTGGGGAAGCAGCCACCCCTGAATTGAAGCAATTTGTACAATGGAGCGTAATGAGCTCTAACTCTAACCAGTACCTGAATGGGAGTGCTGTTTCAAATCTCAGTAGCAGCAGCATGAAGGGGTGGCCTGAAAACTGAAACATGCAAAGGAGAAGCAGCATAAGGTAATTTAAACAAATTGCTACTTTTTGTTACTATTTCTTTTGTTGTTGTAGTTTCCCACCGTTGTTATTTGATGACAGGTAAGCTGCCGTAGGATGTGAAATTGCCGAAAAGTGGAATATAAATCAAAGGCACAAAACTGAGTGTGAGCAATGTGATATATGTAGTTTGACACACACACACAATTCAAATTTAATCTTCCCCAAATAAAAGCAAACATAAAAATATGAAGAGCCCTTGCAGTTTGAAATGCATCTGGTCTCCAGCATTAATTTTAACCATTATTGTAGTTCTCTCTCTCTCTATATATATAGAGAGAGATAGAACTAATATATATATGGAGCCCATCCCCTCGAAAAACAGCCCACTGAAAATTCTATATGTTCACTGGCCCCAGAATGTAAAATGTCATGAAGAATGGAGTAGAGTATATTGGAAGAACAGAAGCACCCTGTACTGCAACCTTTTGTTACAGCTCGCATTGGTAACATTACATCTCATGTTTAACATTTTCTATCTCACTTTTGGAATGAACAAATGTTGAAAACATTTTGATCTACTAAAAGTAATGGACATTTGCAGTAAACTTGATATAAACATGGTATTAACCCATAATACAGATGCAGTGCAATGAAGTAGTTTTTTAATAATTTATTTGGTTTATTCTCCATAAGGCCCCAGGGTGGGTTACAACAGTACAGTATAAAATATTAAATATTAAAATCAGTTAAAGCAGCAATAAAACATATTGTCTTTTACTGTAAACCCATACAAATTGTTTTTGTTTTCTAAAAAATATATTAAATGTACTTTTCCAAAAAAATATCATGGTATAATTTAGCTGTATATTCTCGATCCATAATTTTCAAGTAAAATATTCAGTGAATACTGAAATGGTGTGGTGATGACTCCCTGTTAAAATTGGCTGTGAGTCTTGGGAGCAAAAATGCATACACAAATTTAATAAATATATTAAATATCATAAATAACTGCAAATAGTATATTCCCAATTAAAGAAACAACATAGTTCTCAAAAAGGAGAACAACATGAGCCTCTGCTTCAACTGCAGATGTTTTGAGAACTGATGTGCCCAATTTTTAAAAGGCACTAGAACTCCTGGCCTCTCATAAGACACGAAGAGCCCTTGTAGTTTTCTGCATAAATAAAGTAAAATCTTGAAGTATGAAGTGTTTGATAACTGTAACAGTCCAGCCTCTTTGTTCTCGAAGCTTTGTGGCAAGAATTTTCTGAGCGGCTGGATCTGGCAAGGTCACAGTTTCAGGATTGTTCATCTGTTAAGGGGAGGAAATAATAAAAGTTGCTGGTTATGATGCTGTTTTTTTATCAGACAAATGGATTTTACTCATCTTCAGGCAAGATGCTAGCTGGAAGTATTTACAGATTGCAGAACCCTTTGTAACATGCAATGCTATATGTCTAAGTTATCTAGGAGTTCTCTAAGAAGAGGGATTGATTGTGAATCTACTCTGGGAACTGTAGTTGTCCAAGGAGAACAGGGGTCTCCTAACAACTCTTAGCACCTTTAACAAGCTACAGTTCCCAGGTTTCTTGGGGGTAAGCCGTGACTGTGGAGGTTTTCTATAATCAAGCAGTAGATGAATTTTATTAAATAAATAAATTATAATGCTTTTAAGCGCATAATGCAAATCACTTAAAGGAACAGTTATGCATACACTCTTCTCATCCAGAACCCAAAATATTATTGGATACAGTTTCTCTCTCAGTATTCTCCATCTTAAACCAAACTGTTCACACAGCCAACTTTTGAAAGGGGCAAGTTCTGCATTATAACCCCTAACCCTTTTTCCTATATAGGAATTATTTTGGGTAATGGTAATAACTCACTGTTTCAAAAGTTAAGGGCCTACTTAAATTGTATTTTAAAATACATCTATAGAACTTTACACATAGATGGGTCCTAATTCTACATGGAGGGGGGAATTGAAAAGTCTTTCCCCCCCCCCCTTTGTCTATCAACCTAATACATAGCCCCCCTACTTATTAATAAGGCTTATTGTTACAACTGTCATAAGCATAACTAACTGGTTTTTTAAGTTATGTATTTGTTTGTTTTTCCATTGTAAACCGCCCTGTGATTCTTGAATGAAGGGTGGTATAACAATTTAATAAATAAAAAGAAGTAAAACACCAAATGGGAAAAAAATGTTTCCATTTAGTGCCTATAGTGTTATGTGTCCTTAACCAGAGTGCATTGTGTGTTGACTTCCAGAACTTCATAATCTTCTCACTCCATCTCCTTATCTCCCAGAACATTTATGTAGGATTAAATGTAATAGAACTTACCATTGCTCTCAAGGTATTTGCCAGGTGTTGTGTGCTTGGCCGAAACGTTTCTGCAGTCTCAACAGAAGCCTCTTCTAAATATTCAAAGAATGTCCCGAAAGCATAAAGACCACTTGAAAGTCTTCCCAGACATGTTTCCTAAAACAGGAGAATAAATAAAAAATTGTTAACGGAAATTTATGAGTCAGAAATATCACACTCATTACATTCCTTAACAAATATTTTATGGTGCAATAAAACTGTATGATTGGGGTAAGCAGTCAAAATACTCTGAGATGAACAAAATATTACGAACAGCTTTGGAAATAATATGGTTGACTATATGCACCAAACATTAATCATTCCTCCTTAATTCTTGCTTTCATGCTACACAAATGCACAACCTTTATCAATCCAGACTATAAGCACTGTTGCTTATGTAGTTAACATCAGCAGGCTTAGGGAGACCTCAGCATTTGCAAACATATTAAAAATGCTTAGTTCTAAATAGGGAAACTCCAAAAAGAGCACAATGAGGTCTGAGCATGTTCAGTAACCATAGATTGAATGCTCCTTGACTATTGGGAATGGGATGGAGTGGCAGGAATCCTGAACAGCAGAATTCAACCAGCAATTTGTTGTTGGTGCCACTGGTAATGTATTAATAAACTTGCCTTTTCAAATCCAGTGTCATAGCATTTATCTTCTTGAGTGATCTTTGGAAGGTTGAGATTATTCACGGCCAGTTCCATCTTGCCTTGACAGACGGCCTCCTTCTTACATAGCTAGTAAAACACAACAAGGTTTAATCAGACTTTTCCCCCCATGACCACTTTAATGTTATATTCCAGACCATCCATATACCCCATGGAAGATGTAAACCTCTCTCCATCGCTGACATTCATTAGGTGGTCCGAAACTGCTTTTCCTGTGGTCTTCTGACCCCTGCAGCTATCCCTAATCTGAAGATGCAGCAGTATTCACAATGCTAGGTCAATTTCAAATCGGAATTGTAATGTCTACTGAGAAAAAGGGATTCTGAATGTCAATTTGCAAGTGTAACTCCCACTTTTTAAACATTTCCTATAAAAACTGACTTAGGTGTGCCCCTGCATTTTGAACTTCCCTGCAAAATATTGGGTTCTTCACTATGTTTAGCCAGGGTACCAAATTTCCCAACCCTGGAAAGCAAAACAAAAAACGAGACTTCAAATCTCAAATCATTCATTTTTCTATAAATCTTAACTTCTTTGGTGAATATTAGTATTAAGTAATAAGTGAATAAGGAAAGAGAGAACAGGAATGTATTGAGCACTATATTTTTATATATAGAAAAGCACATACTGCTACTAAAGCAAATGTGTATTCCTAAAGAGTGACCAATAGAGGATACATTATGCTGAATGATTCTCCTAGAAAAACCCAGCGCTTCGCCATCACTCAAACTCTGCCTATCAGCCCATAGCTAACCATGTTGCCTCAGAAGTTACTCCCAGGTAAGTGGCACACAAAAGTGCTAGCTTGGCCCCATGACTGTGGGTGCCCGGGGCCGTGGGTGCCATGCAGCTTGCATGGCCCGGGCACCAAAGTTTGTGGGTGCCTGGCCCCTTCATGGGGAATTTTGTGGGTGCTCGGGCACCTAGGGAGCTGGCGGTACCTATGGCAGCACATAAGACTGCAACTTAAGTTTGTAATATATACAAGGAATGTAGGGTTTAGAGGGTTACTGTATGGAGGCTCTGCAAGTACAGTGGTACCTCGGGTTACTTACACTTTAGGTTACAGACTCCACTAACCTAGAAATAGTGCTTCAGGTTAAGAACTTTGCTTCAGGATAAGAACAGAAATCATGCTCCAGCTGCGCAGCGGCAGCAGGAAGCCCCATTAGCTAAAGTGGTGCTTCAGGTTAAGAACAGTTTCAGGTTAAGAACGGACCTCCGGAACGAATTAAGTACTTAACCCAAGGTACCACTGTATTGGCGTTCATGCCATGTGGTTTTTTTTTTAATTACACAGATTTATGACACAGTAAAATGTCTCAGTGGTGTTCAGAAAACCAAAAATATAAAGAATGCACAAAAGAATAACAGTTGAAATAACAGTAGAATGCCAGAAGATATTTTAAAAAATTCATTCAGAAAAGGCTTGAGTAAATGAAAGGGCCATAATCACACTGAAAGAGTAGATTGTTGGAGGAAAGGTGTAATAGGCTGATGAGATAGCAATACTAACTGCACCATCTGGACCAAACTCAAGGGCAGACCCATATAGGGTACAGTGCAGTAGTCAGTTCCTGAGATTTTTCCCTGCCCAGGAATGGCCATAACTGGCCAGTCAGCTGAAACTGGTAAAAGGCACTCTTAGCCACAAGTGACAAAAGTAGCTCTACAAATTCGTTCCTTCAAGGAAGCACAACCCTGGTCCCGAGCAGGTAATGAACGAGCAACTTCCTGACATGGGAACCGCCTACCCACATGGTTTGCCTGTTGCTTTATCATCCTTTGCATTGTGACATACTTTATGTACACAATCTGTTTTAAATAAATATAGTTCTATTAAATGCTTCCTGTGTGCATACTGGCCTTTCCCGGTTTCTGCTCTACATTTCGGTATCCTCACAGTGTTGGATGAGGGTACAAATCCCCAGCTCTGAAGCCCAGCAGAAGATCTCTAGTCACTTCTAGGCCTAACTTACATCACAGGGTTATTATGGGGCATAGGAACCAGCTCCTAAGGGCTGAGGTTCCTTTGCCCCTCCCCCCCAAAAAGTGAGGGGGCCACTTCCCATAGTTGGAGGAGTTTGGATTTGATATCCCGCCTTTCACTCCCTTTAAGGAGTCTCAAAGCGGCTAACATTCTCCTTTCCCTTCCTCCCCCACAACAAACACTCTGTGAGGTGAGTGGGGCTGAGAGACTTCAGAGAAGTGTGACTAGCCCAAGGTCACCCAGCAGCTGCATGTGGAGGAGCAGGGAATCGAACCCAGTTCACCAGATTACGAGTCTACCACTCTTAACCACTACACCACGCTGAGGTTCCTTTGCCCCTCCCCCCAAAAATTTGAGGGGGCCACTTCCCATAGTTGATGAACATTGCCATTCAAATGGTCTGAGAACCCTGTAGCCCACCTTTAGCCCCTTGGAGGAAAGGTGGGATATAAATGTAATTTTAAAATCCTTTAGAAATTCTTGGGGGCACTTCAAACAAAATTGTTATTGGACACTTACATTGTTGGGAGTTACCAAATAATAATAATAATAATAAAAAGCACAGCTGTATCCTGCCTTTCCTGGGTTCCTGTACAGGGGTAGCCAACTTCCAAGAGACTGTGATCTACTCACAGAGATAAAAACTGGCAGTGATCTACCCCCTTTTTCGGGGTTCAGATCAAAGTTGTTGACCTTTTCTAGGGAGGAGGAAAGCGATGTTGAGCTTTTTTTAGGGAGGAAAGGCCCATTTTTTAGGGGTGCAGGGCAAAGATGCTGAGATTTTTTAACTTCTGCGGGGGGAGCTACTTGATCTACCGGTGATCTGCCACAGACATCCAGTGATCTACTGCTAGATCACGATCTACCTGTTGGACGTGCCCGCATGCTTTTTGGCCTGCTAGAATCCACTTCACTGCTGCTGTTCGTTTGCAATAAATGCTTTTCTTATCTCAACTGTCCTTCTGCAAAGAGATCTGTCTCTAGCTGGCGTCCTGGGAGCGCAAACGCCCCAAGGCGTTGTTGCGAGGCTCGCTCAGCCCATGAACCATTGGAAAGATGCACTCCCTTTCCCAGGCTTAGGAGCAGAAGGAGCTCCCGCACTAAACTTGAAAAGTTGCAACACCCCAGCTCAGAGAAGGAAAAGAGATGCCCGAGTCCCCGCCCCAAGAAAGGACGCGTGCTCGTTTCCCCTGGCGCTCTGCGCGCTCGCTCTCACCTCTCGAGTCAACCCGGCCGCTCTTCCCTGCAGCCAGCGCGCCAGGTCCACGCATTTCTGCAGCTGGAGGCGCTCGGGTGGCACCGTCCTGGCCAAGGAGTCGTCGCTGAATTCGGACTCCCCGGAGGAATCCCCGACGGGCATAGCCTCTGCCCTCAGGAGCAGCAGCAGCAGGAGAGCGACGGCAGCCCCAGAAACGCCTGATGGGAGAAAAAGGAAGAAGTTAGGCAAGCTGAACCAAGGAGGTTCCCGCCGGCTGCAGCTGCGCGCCAGGCTGCCCGGCCAAGTTGGAGACGCTCCCTTGCAGAACGGGAGGAGCCCGCCAAGGCGGCTGCCAACTCACATCCCAGCGGAGCCTGCATGGCCTTCTCTTCTTAGGCTAGACCCTCTTTGCTGCCTCGAGAAGCTTTGTAGCTTTGGGGGCTGTAGAGCTGACTGAGTTGTAGGGCATTTCTGAACCTATTTATTGGATGGGTCTGACTGCACTTGGGGAAATCCAACGTTGATTAAGAACTACCGCGTTTTTTTGCGGTGGTTTCTTTTTTTTAAAAAAGTAGTATAATGAACCATTGGGGGCATCTGCTGGGAAATACTGGAGTAAGGTGTGAGGTCACAGGGAACTGAAGATGCCTTTTAGCCTACTTCCATTAATGTTCTTGTGGACCGCTTACAGACTTAAAGTGAGGCATGTGCAAGGGAGATGGATGACCTCTCTTTCATTTCCTCTCTGTGTGTGTTGGAGCAAAAAAAAAAAGTTCTCATGAAGGAGTGAGAGTAGTCATTTGAGATAATAAACAAAAAGCAATTCAGCTTTTTCTTTGGAAAAGCTCTGTTATGCTGGCTATGGGGAAATCCTAGTCCAAACTGCATCCAAACTGTTCCATAGCAGCAGGGAGTGATCACACCCACCCCAAGCAGTTCCTATGACTGTGCGCACATGTCATGTATGAGAAGGATGCATGGGAAAGCACACGGCACAATGCAAAAAGTAGGTGGGAGCCTTTGTTGCAAGCACAGAAAGGGCTCTCCTGCAGTATGGAGAACAGAGTAATGGTACACAGCACATGTGCAGCCCATTGGGGACTCGCCTCAGGTGCAATGATAGCTCCATCAGTATTTGATCAATGCCTTGGCCACTTATGAGTGCCATGAGTGCTTATGTGAGTGCCATGATGCTTGACAGTGCGCTTCAAGACCTTGGAGGCTTCCAGCCTCCTGCACCTGCTAGAGAGCTGGCTCACAGGCCACCAGTGGCTCCTGGGGAGATTTCTTTGGATGGATGGGATAGAGCTGTCAAGGGCCTGCGGGTCATTCTGCTCTCCTCCACTGATAATACAAATTACTAATCAGTATGCAGAGGTAGCCGTCCCTTCTCTTTCTGACACACCTCTCCACCCAACACTTCTCAGCCTCCAGGCCCTTGTCCAGGGTCCAAACAAACTCATAGATCCACCCTGAAAAAAATCTTAGTAAATAGAGTTCCTGGAATATGTCAACAGCACTCTGGTCTCTCGCTGTACATAAGGCTTGCTTTTATGATCAGTCACCAAGGTTGAGGGAGCCTCTGCAGGCTGCTCTTCTCTGTTATCCTGGGATCATATTACCTGTCCTCACTTCAGCCTCTGATTTGTTCACATGCTTAAAGTGTGAATCAGGTTGAAGGGAGTAGAAAGATCATTTGTTGCCCTTCTGTGAATCAAGGTGCTGTACGTAGTCAGCAAGGATAAACGGCTGAAATGCACACAGTTTTCTTTCTGTAGATAGAGGTCTCTGAATCTCAGTGGCTTAAGAAATCTCTCTGTTAAGACATTTTAAGGACATCTTCACCGCAAAATGCTAAAAAAGTGGTTAAAACAAAAAGCAATGGACATCAAACAGAAAAATAAAAAAAACCAAAGGATTTTCTCTAATATGCTTATTTAAAGCATTTTTACAGCAAGTGCCGTGTCAGCTCGCTTGCAGATGATTAAAGTCTTGGTAAAATACTTAATGGTAACACATCACTAACTTTATATATTGTTAAATACAGATAGAGAAAAGTGATTTTTTGCAACATCTTATTGCAGAAAGAAGCACTCTGGTTTAATGCCCATGACCTGTTCCATGTACACATACAGAAAGTCATTGGAATCACACGTTTACGTTAGGCTAGTAGATAGTTACCACCAACCATCATGACTACCTCTATCCAGGTTATTTCTGTATAATGCAACAGGAATTTTGTGGCTGTTGCATGGCAAGATCTGGTTTGGTTCCTCTGCTTTGTTGCCACACAATACAAACTAGTTAGGAAATTTTAATGGAAGAATCTGTTCTTCTCCCTTCTACTCCCCTTTTTTGCTTTCAGCTGAAACTATTTTTAAAAATGACAACTACAGGCCTCCTAGATAGTATATAACTAGACATTTGCTCAAAGTATTGTACCACACAAATTGCCTGTGACGTACTGGGGAACTCTCTGGGTGCATTGCAAAACCCTTAGTCAGTGCAGCTTTTCAGATTTTTATGCTTACTTCCTGGAGAAAAAATGATATGTCATGTTGCCGTTTGGCTTTGTAGGACATAATTTTTCTATGTGGAAAATATTCAAATCAAGCCTTCTGTTCTTATGAAAAAGCGGAACAGTAAACAAATAAAGCCAACAGAGTTATAAAACGTCTTCTGCATTACTTATTGGAATTGCCACAAAATCAGTGCCAAGGATTAAAAATTGATAGTGGCCCTTAAAAAAAAAATCTTTATATGATAAATTGCCTTGAACAATCTTATCAAATCCTACACAGGAAAATGGGATGGCAATGCTAGTGGCATTGTGATCTCTTTTTACTCTTAAGTCACAAATGTTGGGTACACACATGACGTAGACCATACAGTTGCCATGAGACAGCACAGCCAGGAGCAACAAATGTGAAGAGGCACTATTTGTGTGATCAAATGCAATCACAGCAGTAGATATACACTTGCTCCAATTACTGCTATGAAGGCAGTTCTTATTTAAAAGGATGACATTTCATATGACTTTTTGCTTTTGTTTCTAATTAATTGTTTTCATGGCGATTATATTACTGATAGTTGCTTTGATCTGCCAGGAAAGACAGTTGCAAAATCAGTCAAATAATTTAAAGAGTGCTTTCAGCACGCAGTTATAGCACTGGAACAGACCTCAAAAGCAATCTAGTCCAACCCTGTGTGCAGAGAATCCCAATGGGTAGAGCTGAGAGAGATTAACACACACACACACACACACACACACACACACACACACACCAGTTTCATCCAACGAGGCCTCTGTAATACAAACCAGGTCAGCTTCCTCAGCCAGGATTCTGGCCTGTCACTGGCCTGCTGTTGACAATCATAGAATTATAGAGTTGGAAGGGACCTTGAGGATCTTCTAGCCGAGGAGTAGTCAACCTTTTTATACCTACCGCCCACTAATGCATCTTCTTTGATGGTAAAATTTCCTTACCGCCCACTAGTGCTTGATGGAAGGAGGATTCAGCTTGTGCCGTAGAACCCCCTACTGCCCACCTAGAATCCTAAAGCGCCCACTAGTGGGCTGTAGGGGCCAGGTTGACAACCCCTGATCTAGCCCAACCCAATCCAAAGCTATTTAAAACAAGGGGGTGGTATGGGGCCAACCAGCACCCTGTTGTGGATCAGTTCTATGATTGTCAACAGCAGGCCACTGAATGGTAAAACCACAGCTATCCAGGACTTAATCCTGGTTCTTTGATGATAATAGAACTGTCTCTCCCCTCCATAGCTCCCTCTGCCTCTACAACTCTGATGGCTCCTCCCTGGGTCTCATCACCTCCTCAATACCTATGAAAAAACATCTCTCCTTCCTGCACCTGTACCAATAAAAATAAAATGCAGATTTGAGTTTACGTGAGGGCAGGGGGACAGGCCCTCACCCACCCACCCCTGCAGAGCATTATAAATGTAGCCTTCCAACGTAACTTAAGGTTGTCTCCCACCCACCACAGCACTCCCCATGGGACCCCATTGCACACAAATCATGTGCTGGGGGGGTCGTCAGTATTGAGGAAAATATTGAATCAGGGTTCTAATGTTGAATTCTAATGGTGTGCCCTCTGCAGCTGCTTCAAAGGGCACTGCTGCTATTTAAAGGAAGGATTCGATCATACACTGGCAAATTCAGCTGTCTGTCACAATTATAGTTGATTAGAGGTTCTTGTGCAAAAAGTCTGCTCCCCAAAAATATTGGGTTTATTGCAATAAGGAAAGTGAAGGGGAGATGCGGCTGAAACCACGGGGTGACATTTGGTTGGCGCACTGTCATCTAATCTCCACTCAAACAAATCAAGATGAATGCTCAATAAACACAGTGCCTGGAAGTGACCTTACTGTCTTCTTACATTTTCTAGTCTTCAGTAGAAAATTAATTAAAAACGTTCAGTTTCTTGGTTGTTGCTTCAAGTGCCCAGCCTAAAAATAGCCTAAGAATTGCCATTGACGCTTGTTTTGGGGAAGTTCAGATTTTTTCTCTCTCCTGATAATAGTTCCGAAAATGATTTCCCCCAAAGGAAGGAGGGGTCATTGGCCCATTCAAAAAAATAATAATGAAAGAGATACAAAACTGTGAATGGTGAAAGAAAACAGCCTGAGTTTCTCTGGACTCAGTTTTTTTATCAATGATCCAGACTTAATGCTGGTCCATACTTCTGCTTGTCCTGGAAAGCACAAGTCCAAGTGGTTTTGCCTTTGTCCCACCACTTTCCCCTGGAAAACAAATGGGAATCTGCAGAGAAACCAGGAGCCACTTCCCCTTTAGTCACACAGAGCTCTGTGAACCTGCACAGCAAGCAGTTAGCATTCTCTCTCTCTCTCTCTCTCTCTCTCTCTCTCTTTCTCTCCCTCCCCCCCTCCCTCCCTCCCTCCCTCCCCCCTTTCCAATTCCAAGGGCCATAGGAAATGGATGGTGCCTGTGCTGTCTTCAGAGGCAGCCCTAGGTATAACACATTGCAGTAATCTATTTTTTTTCCATTTTTTTAAAAAAAGATTTTTATTATAATTTCAATAAGGAAATTAAACAAAAAAAAACATAAAAGTAGAAATACAAAAATACACAATACATAATCCAAAAAGAAAAAGAAAACACAGAAAACAAAATACAAAAGAAACAAAAAAGAAACAGAACACTTAAAAACAATATCACTTTTCCATTTTCGTTTTTGAATTTACTTATTTTCTGGACTTCCTCATACCTCCCTCTTTTGTATTCCAGTCCAAATTGTTTGTCCAGCAATTTCCTTTCCACTTTTTTAATCCCAATCTTTAATCTTAATATAATATAATATATAACACTTGAACTTCTTTAATCCTAATCTTAAATCTT